GCTGATTAAAAGAACTTGTGGTGACCTGTGCCCAACATGCACTCTTCGGTCAAGTGATCTGAGTGTAAAGATACCAAGAATTCATCATGAATAAACTGAGTGAAAAAGCTTTTAGCTTTATCTCTGTGGAACCCTCTCAAGGCCTACCTTTTTTATTTTTACACAAGTTTTTCAAGGTCAACATTTTTAACTCTTAAGTGCCAATTATGTATATATGTAATTACATGACCCACCATTGTGACATGCTAAAAGAGCTAAACTGGCTATCGCTGGAATCCAGACGCACCCTTCACCTTTCCAGCTTTTTGTTTAAGAGCTTTTCTGGGAAGCTCCCACCCTACCCGAGCAGAATGCTCTCCCCGGCTGTTCCCTCAACATATAACCTCCGATCCAGCACCAGAATTTTATTTAGTCTACCTCAATGCAAAAAGAAAGCGGCTCGATCCTCATTTTCCTACAGAGCACCACAATTATCAAACAACCTCCCGCACACTTTCCAAACTTCCCCAGGCCTAAAGTCCTTTAACCCCTTAAGGACCAAACTTCTGGAAAAAAAGGGAATCATGACACACATGTCACGTGTCCTTAAGGGTTTAAGAGATCCCTCTCTACATATATCAAAACAGAATGCACCTGTCATGGTTGATTATATAATTCTTACCTGTTCTATGTTAAATTTTGTTTATATGTTGTGTATTAATATTGTTATTGTATTTTGTACCCTAATGTATCAATGCAATGTTTTGTGGACCCAGGACATACTTAAAAAAAGAGAGAAATCTCATTGTATCTTTCCTGGTAAAATATTTTATACATAAATAAATATATGAAAAAAAGTGTTTTGGGTTCTGCAAGGAGAAACAAAAAAGCTATATAAGTTGTTGTTGTGATTGAATGATTAAAGGAACATTCCAAGCACATTTCAAATGCGCTGTTGTGATTAAGGCGTCAGCAGCAACCTGGTTCCCCTCATTGCAGTAGTCAAACCATTTTGACATCTTACCTGGTGTGTGCACCACACCCACCTCCACTACTGCAGATAGAGAGTTGGGAGCATGTTCTTTGGAACTTCCATCAGCTCTCCTGAACTAAGCAATGCAACGCAGGGCTAGCTCACTGACTGACAGCATTTGTTGGTCTCTCTAAGCCAATGAGCTTAGCTCAAACTGACATCACTTGGTTAACTGGCGGTTGTAGTTGAGGCAGGGAGTTGCACCAAGCTGACCCTAGGTAAAAATTCACACTGTTCTAAAATAGTTTGACTACTTCTAATGGGGAATGTGGGGGAACGGCAGGGCACTCCTTTCACCATAACAACTACTGAGTGTTGGAGTGGCTACAGCGCTTGGAGTATTTCTTTACCTGAGACAAATGTTAAACCCAGTTTTTAATAGATAGATAAAGATTTCCAAATTCAGCAGCACTTCTGGAAGAAACAATTAAGACATTTGTGGATTGTGATTGTGTTCAAAAATAGCATGCAATACTGGCTGAAGTTCAGAAACTGTTGATAGACAAAAACAAGCAAAGAATTGTGATTGAGGTCTTTGTTTGAAATAGAAGCAGTAACAACTACACTGGAGCAACACAGATTAGTGCAGCTTGTGACAAATTTTATTTCTAATGTCAAATTATTTCCACGCTATTTTAATGCACATATGTTATATTTAAAAACAAAAAAGAATGAAATGCATGCCAGTAGCAATTCACACAATTCTGGAGGAGCTATCAATATCTTCAATCCTGATTAACATTACATTTAACTAACTTGATTCTTGAAGGGATATGTTGTAACAGATCAATTAAGTATTTCAATTAGGTTAAAGAAGAGGAAATGTCTACTGAGAAAAAGGAGAGGTATTTCCATTGATGGGCATTCATCTGTCAACTGCAGAGAACAGAGGAATGGTATGATAAACTAATGGGGAGTAGGCATCAACAGGGGAGCAACAGACACAACATCAACAGTGGAGCAACAGGCATACAGTGAATGTTATGTTTGGCTCACTTATATAAAAACATACAACCAGTAAGCAAAGGCAGTGTGGGAGAGAGAGGGGAGAGAAAATAAGAGTGGCTTTGCTCCGATCCAACAACTTTAACCCCTTAAGGACGAAGCCAATTGTACAAGTTCTAATCAAAACAAAACCTGGGATTTTAGGTATTTGTCTGTTCAATCATAATTTACCACTTTCATATTAAAGGAGCACTATAGTGCCAGGAAAACAAACTCATTTTCCTGGCACTATAGGGTCATTAGGTCGTCCCCACCCTCAGGGCCCCCCTCCCGCTGGCTGGATGGGTTAAAACCCTTTCAGCCACTTACCACACCCTAGACTGCCTTTCCGTTCCACTGGCCACTCTTCTCTATGTTTGCTTTTGAGGGTGCCCTGGCTGTGGCTTTCAGGGTAATCAGAACCTGTTAGCCACTACCCTAGGGCAAGCAGGCTGCAAGGCTCTGTGTAAGCAGAAAAATACTATCTCCCCTCCAGATGAACAGGTTTGTCCTGTCCTGAATGACACCCATAAGGCTGTCAATGAGGACACGCTACCATCGCGCAAGAGAGCCCCAGACCGGGAAAAATCGGCCAGATCGTTGAACGGGCACGTGCCCACGATGATCGTGTGAATCGGACCAAAGCATGGAGGAGGACTATGAGGATCCTTATTTGGATCACTGTAGTGATGACGGTTGACTCGGATGAGAAACCATCCGCTTTGGCCCAAAAAGCTAAGGCTCAAGGCTCTGAGCCTTCCGAAGCGAGCTAGGGAAGCGGTCTCCGGGACCCACAGGGTAATCCCTTGTTTGACCCGGATGATCTGCGCCACCCTTGTTCAGCAGAGTGGGAGCATCCTGGGCATATTGCGCAATACCTTGCACTTAGAGTGCGTAAGCCATTGTCTAAGGAGGGTCGAAGCAAGCTTAATGCTGAATGTTTGCGACCCATTCTACCAGATCTGGTGGCTAAAACCCCTTATGTGAACCCGCAGCTCATTTAAACCAAGGAAAGGCCTTGATTTCTCACTTAAATATTGGCAAGACAAATTCTTAGATAACCTGGGCCTTATTGCCAAGCTTCACTAGCTTGTTGAGTCTCCCCAATCGGGCGAGATGGCCTTTCATTTCGAGGTGGCAAAGGGTTGGTTGTAACGTTTCGTTTGCATGGTGGGAAACGCGAATACAGCGATGTTCACCGAACGCCGCAAGGCAATCCTTTTAAAAATTAAGCCCAAACTGGCCAGTATGACGACCAATGAGCCGGGACCAGCTGTTAAGGGCCTTCTTTTTGGAGAACCCTTTAACAAGGTCTGTACGTTAAAACATTTACAGCACTTGACAAGGCACAAACGTCTCTGAAAAGGTTTTTGGAGGGTCCGGAGGAGGTAGGAGCCATCTGTCCGTTCGTGGATTTCAGGGCTCGTTCCGAGCCGGCAGACCTATACAGGAGCATAATTATACCCCGTTCTTCCCTTCTCGAAGACGTCCCTGGAGCTCCCGTGGACTGTGGGGGTCAGTCTCCGGCAGAAGATGACCTTATGGTGAGTACCCCTTATTCCCATTTTTCCCATGTAAAAGTGGAGGGAAGACTGGCACTGTTTTACCAGGCATGGAATGTGATAACCTCAGATGGAGTTAGTCTCTCATCCCGTACAGTTGCTTTCTCCTTGGGAGATGATCATGCCCGCCGACCATCAAACCTTAATTTCGCAAGAAACTGCAGAGCTGGCATAAAAAAAATGGCATTCAGCAAATCCCTTGGGACACAGCGGGTTTTGTGAGCAACTTGTTTCTAGTCCCCAAGAAAGGAAGTGGAGTACAACCAGTCATCAATCTCCGTCCTCTAAATGCATTCCTCCAATACCACCATTTCAAGATGGAGGGTATTCATTGCCTTCGGGACAACCTGTTAACGTCGGATTGGATGGTCCCCTCTTATAATGTTGTAAAGTGCTACAGAATTTATTGGCGCATATAAATGTGAATGATAAATAAATAATACTAGCAGCCCTAATTTGTCAGAAAGCTGTGGAATGTGTTGTGAGGCAATATGACTCGTGGGATCACAATGTAAGTGTGCATATGTATATTTATAATTTATATAGGATACCTTGACATTTGGGTTAATTAATGGTAGGCCCCAAATCCTACTTTCTACAGAACAATATAATGAAAAATGTATTAGGGTTCCCATGAATGGTTTTCATGAGTCCCCAGGGATTAAGGAGTATCAGGTAACCAAAATACATCAGGAGGGACACTCAAACAAGGTGACACCAATCACTGCCACCTGAGTGTATTAAAACACACAAATAGTAAATCGCAGTATACCTGCCTTTCTGGATATGTAGTATGGCATTGTAGAGCCTTGGGCAGATTCAAAGCACAATTTCACAGTGCAGGCCAAATAGAGGGTTAAAGAAATAGAGTTTAGATTAAATTCCATTGATAAATATAGTAGAGTGCATACACTGAGCAATATCTAAAGTGTCATAAGATGATATCACTATCTCTATACATCGGGCAAAAAAAAGCTAAAGGTATCTTATATCATAAAAGTGTGCGCTCCACCGTGAAATGCACACGTACATAGAACGGGCCAGCATCGCGGGTGTGTACCAGAGCTGGAATGCATCTAAATAATATAAAGCAAATTCTTCAACAAATAAGCAAAAAAAAAAAAAAGAGGGATACAAAAAGGAATGGTTTATTTTATCAAAACCATTAGAAAAGTCCATAATTTTATAAAATGTATAAATGACAAAAATATTAATTTTTTGTTTTTTTCCTTCTTTCAATTAAATGTTTACGTTAAAACAAAAATTAGAAATGGGTACTTCTTTTAACTGAAATAATCTTAAAGCTTTAAAGTTTATACCAGTTAAATGAAAAAGAGGCCCAATGAATTTATAATTTAGGAAGTTTAAAATATAGATTACATTTATTGATCTTGCAGTTTTAATATTATTTAATTTAGATATTGATCTTTCAGGTTCTTTATATTTAAATAAGTAGGTGCACAGATTTTAATATTGCCTAGAATATACTGTTTTTATATACAAGATTGTATCTTGTTTCTGAGTTTCAGGTGCCCGACTGATATAATCTGATTTAGGTTTACAGCCTCTACCCCATATAACTGGTATAAATGTAAATCTTGTTTCCAGAATTCACAAAGCAGGCATAACTGTTAAAGTTACCTCGGTTACCACTTTCTGTGAATCCTTGTTGGATATCTGTGCTATATGTTAGTAACGCCGAAGTTGAGGCAAGCAGGACCTCAGTATACCAGTAGAGCATTGGATTGGCTGAGATCGTCAAGGAGGCTTGGTGGGGCCAAATGCCACCCTAGCCAATCAATGCATCTTTATGAGGAAAGCTCAGTGTCTCATAGAGACACTGAACTGCCCCAGGAAGCACCTTCTGTGGCCATCTAAGGAGTGGCCACTGGAGGTTTCACTAGGCTTTACTGAAGCAGTTTTAGTGTGTATATATAATGCCCCTGTAGTCTCAACGCTCAATTCTCTGAGACTTAGCAGTCAAATCACTGCACAATTATCTGCCATTTAGGAGTAAATCACATTCTTTTGCAGCCCTATCCACACCCCCTGCATGTGTCGTACACAGTCTTCCTATAGATTTCTTGTAAAGAAATCTAATTTTTAAAACTTTCTTTATTGCACTGTGTGCTTAATTCAGAATTCCCTCTGTTCTGCAGGAGCCTTGTGTATATGATTCAAGTTCAATTGACAGGGCAAGAGATAAGAATTTCTAAAGTAAATGCACTATGTTGATTAAAAATCTAAGCTTTTTTTTTTTTTTTTTAAAGCACTCTGTGTCAGTTACAGCCAGGGAGGTGTGGCTAGGCCGCCATAAACAGAAACAAATTAATTTAACTCCTAAACGGCAGAGAACTGAGCAGTGAGGTGATGATTACTACGATCCAGACACCAGAAATGCTTAATTAAACTACTGCTTAGTTAAAGGATCACTATAGTGTCAGGAAAACAAAGCGGTTTTCCTGACACTATAGTGCCCTGAGGATGCCCCCACCCTCAGGGTCCCCCTCCAGTGGCGCTGAAGGGGTTGTAACTAGTGATGTCCCGAACTGTTCGAACGGTTCGCGCGGACTCCAGTCAGCTGACACATTCCAGCCAATCAGCAGCAGACCCTCCCACCTTCTGGACAGCTCACTAAGAATGCAGCTTCAAAATGGATGCTGTTCAGGAGGTGGGAGGGAGGGTCTGCTGCGGATTGGCTGTAATGTGTCAGCTGACTGGAGTCCGCGGCCCGTTCGGCGAACAGTTCGGGACAACACTAGTTGTAACCCCTTCAGTTACTTACCTTAATCCAGCACCGGGCTCCCTCGGCGCTGGTGATCTCTCCTCCCCGTCAGACGTCACTGGAGCCGAATGCGCATGCACGGCCAAATGTGCATGCATCTGAAGGGTTAAAACCTGAGGGACCTGGCACCCAGACCACTTCATTGAGCTGAAGTGGTCTGGGTGACTATAGTGTCCCTTTAAGCTAGAATGTGTTGCTGAGAGAATCCCTTTAAGGTTAAAAAGTTATAGGAGCTGCTAATTATAGGACATAACCAAAATTGGAAAATTATCCAACTCTTTATTTTTCCAGTTTTTATGTTTTAGCCAAGAACTTGCTCCTGGATTTTTGAATATAGCCCTTAGTTATGATCACATAGGTCTCTTCCCTCCTCGCTTTATTACAGGCACCATCTATCATCAGGATCCTATGCTTCTTCTTAAATGGAAGTAAAGTTTCTTCCCTCACCTGCATGAAGAGATAATGAGATCCCATTACAAACCATTTTATATTCACACATTCCATAGGAACATCATCTCACAGCAGCTCAACATTCTCAAACACAGATTCTTTATTCAAACAGGGCACTTTTTTTTTTTTTTTATTGCATTTATTAAAGGACCACTATATTGCCAGGAAAACATACTCGTTTTCCTTGCACTATAGTGCCCTGAGGGTGCCCCCACCCTCAGGGTCCCCCTCCCGCCCGGCTCTGGGGAGAGGAAAGGGGTATTAACTTACCTTTTTCCAGCGCTGGGCGGAGAGCTCTCCTCCTCCTCTCCGCCTCCGTTACGCCCCGCCGGCTGAATGCGCACGCGTGGCAAGAGCTGCGCGCGCATTCAGCCCGTCGCATAGGAAAGCATTTACAATGCTTTCCTATGGACGCTTGCGTGCTCTCACTGTGAAAATCACAGTGAGAAGCACGCAAGCGCCTCTAGTGGCTGTCAATGAGACAGCCACTAGAGGATTAGGGGAAGGCTTAACCCATTCATAATTATAGCAGTTTCTCTGAAACTGCTATAATTATGAAAAAATGGGTTAACCCTAGAAGGACCTGGCACCCAGACCACTTCATTAAGCTGAAGTGGTCTGGGTGCCTAGAGTGGTCCTTTAATGCTTGGGAACAGTTCTCACCTTTAACCCCCCCAAAAAACTTTATTTATTAACATAAAAATGTACTTTCAGTATGAATGTGATTTATGCTATAAGCAATGTACGATATCTGTAATCCTTCTCTGCATTACAGTTTAATAATGAAGGTTAAAGGCAATTACATTAATAAGTTAAATTACTGAGTTACTGTGGGTACATTGAAATGCCATTTTGAATTATAATAAAAATCTAGTCACTACTTGCAGACTTTTCATCTTTCCAATTAGCAGATTTATAAAACCATATCCTGCAGATCAATTGTCTCCTATACCACTGAAATTTAGAATGTATTTTCTCTCTCTTCAAAAATTCCTGCCCCAACCAGACAAATTCCATTCGCCATACGTACAATGCCCCATTCTCATTCTAACTCTCAAAAATATGTTATCATTTTTACTCTGTCCCTAGGTACATTTTATATGATACTCATTCAAGTTTTAATTATAGATTGTAATCTTGTTTGGGCAGGGCCCTCTTCTCCTACTGTTCCAGTATAGCAATCGCATTTTGTTAGAATTTACTGTTTGTTTTGTTTACCTATTGTACACTGCTGAATAATATGTTGGCGCTATATGAATAATTGCAATAAGGTTTTTATTAGGAGAAAAAGAACGCACAATGCATTGTGAACATGAATATATTTGTAACAAATGTTACAGAAAGGCACTAGGTTAATAATGTTAGGGTAAATAATATTGTACAGTTTTCATACAGTAATTACTATACTATTTTTTTAAATTATCAATTTCTAGTTTACATGGATTTAAGCAGCTGATGAAATTCTTTTACTAATCATTCTGCTTTTTTTTAAATTTCAAAGGATGAACGGCTAAGCTGAATGTGCAATCATAAGGTTTAAAAAAGTTATAAAGTTGTTGCATAAACTAAAATATTTATATTTAAACTGCTTGATAACTTTCCATTAAATTATATACTCCCTGCTTAGTTCCCTTGTGTCTCACCATCATCCCTTAGAATGAAGATATAATATTTAGTTTATAAATATAATACATTAAACTCTTTAATGATCAGTTTTCATCTTCTGCTTGTGTCTATCTACCAGCTACCATGCCATCAGTCTTTGACTTCTTGTTAATTTACCATCTTCTATCTCTTGTGTTCAATGTATAATATGGTACCAGTTTAGACAAATATTATGAACTTCTCAATTGTTAAAGGGACACTATAGGCACCCACACTATTAAGCTCATTGAAGGGGTCTGGGTCTTCCAGTGTATGTATTTGCAGATTTTGAGAAATTGTAATAATTACATTCCAGGTCTAAGACTGCCTCTAACGGTTGTCAGACAGCCACTAGAGGCACTTCCTGCTTGCTAGACGCCTAACTGATGCTATAGGTCTTCACTCTCTGCCTGAAGACATCGAGCATCAGTTAAAGGAAAACTCCAGTGCCAGCAAAACAATTTGTTTTCCTGGCACTGCAGGTACCCTCTCCCTCCCACCTCCCATCCCAGGTAGCTGAAGGAGTGAAAACACCTTCAGGTCACTTACCTGAGACCCCGCTGATGTCCCTTCGGTGGTGATTTTGGGTCGGCGTCGCTCCTCCCAGTAATCACGTCAGCCAGTGGGCGAGACTGATCCCGCCCGCCGGCTGAGGAAACCTAATGCGCATGCACTGCAATACCGCGCATGTGCATTAGGTCTACCCATAGGAAAGCATTGAAAAAGATTTTCAATGCTTTCCTATGGGGAATTGAGCGATGCTGGAGGTCCTCACACAGCGTGAGGATGTCCAGTGACACTCTAGCAAAGAAAATCTTTGCTATGAATCAGGAAGTGCCCTCTAGTGGCTGTCTAGTAGACAGCCACTAGAGGTGGAGTTAACCCTGCAATGTAATTATTGCAGTTTATAAAAAACTGCAATAATTACAGTTGCAGGGTTAAGAGTAGTGGGAGTTGGCACCCAGACCACTCCAATGGGCAGAAGTGGTCTGGGTGCCTGGAGTGTCCCTTTAAATCTCATCAGGAAAGCACTGAAGCAAAGCTTTCCTATGAGAAGGGCCTAATATTCTTGCGGTGCTTGCTGAGCATACACATTATGCCCTCCCCCTCGTTGGATGACGTCAGAGGAGGCGAAGCGTGACCCAACACTGAGGGAGATCAGTGATGGAATTGGGTAGGTACAGAAGGTTGTTTTTTTTTTATAACCTTTTCTGTGCCAGGGAGAGGGGAGGAGCCGGTTGGATGCGAGAGAGGTGGGCCCAAAGGTTAATATAGCGGTATAGTGCAAGGAACACAGATTTGTACTCCTAACACTATAGAATTCCTTTACACAGTAAAGCATGAACAAACACACATGCTATCTTGTTTTTTTTCCAGTGTTTTGTTTACATCTTGAAGAATCCTATTAGCAATCTAGCCATGGCTCTTACCTAGAATTTATTTTCTACCTTTATTGTCAAAAACCTACAGTCACTCATAATAACAATATTTCCGCTGCCCTAAGCACATGATAGAACATCCCCAGCACTTCAGACAACTCAAATAAAATCCATCGTCTCTCCCTTGACATGGTTGGTTTTGAGAAAGAACTCCCTGCAGAGTCATGATGTCTTTTTTTTTTTCCTTCTCATTCTAATCTCAAAATTCCCAAATTACAATATATCACTTTACCTACCAAATCTTTATGCCATGCGCTGAGTATTCACATTTTGAGAAAGGACTGTCTCATTACACATCCATTCTTGGAAGCTTGTCAACAAGTTGACTTAAACACAGTGATGTATCTATCGCGAGGCAAACAAGGCATTTGCCTTGTGCGGCACTTTGCAGGGGGCCGCCCCCAAACACCCATGCAGATCCCTTGTTTGCCTCGAGTCCTGGGGGCCTAAAGAGCTGGCCACTTTTGAGCCCCCCTGAGGCGGGCGTCCTGCTCAGCTCCCTTGCGCGCCGCTTAATAAAGCCGGGAGCCGGAATATGACGTCACTCCGGCTCCCGGCATCACTAAGCGGCAAGGGAGCTCTGATTTTCCTGCTCAGCTCCCTCGCCGCCTATTCAGCCTGTCTGCCCCCTGCCTGCCCGTGCAGCAGCCTCATTCGACTGCAGGTAAGTAATCCACTCCAGCTCTCCCAGGGAGGCTGGGTGGATTTAAATTAAAATAAAAAAAATAATAATTTGTGAGTGTGTGTGTGTCTCTGTAAGTGTGTGTCTGTGAGTGAATGTGTGTGTATGTGTCGGTCTGTCAGTGTGTGTCTGTCTATCAGTGTGTCAAATCAGTGAGTGTGTGTGTGTATGAATTATTGGGTGTGTATGTGTGTGTATTTAAATTGGGGTGCCCGAGCACCGTCCTGCCTAGGGCAGCACAAATACAAAATACACCACTGCTTAAACACATTGCTTATTTTGAAGCTTCCACAATATAACTTTGCAGTAAAACAGCTTTCAATTCAGTACCATATTTCACAAAATGGTGCTATCCTGAATGTTTTATTTACAAATTGCTTGAATTCATTATGTTGTCTACTACAATGGTAATAAAAGCCATTAAAATCATAGAACGACATTACATTAAACAACTGAAAATCTGGATCTACAAAACAATATGTAGTCTATCCACTAAACTGCAAGTTCTGGTCAGATGAGAAAATACTTGCACAATTTAGGGCATTACAATCTGCCATTTCTGCTATTCATAGGTTAGATCACAACTAATGAATGATTTTACTTACTCCACTGAATAGAAAAACACCTGTTATTTCATCAACATGTGTATGAATTGAACACTGCAAAATGTAATCAGCAATGCAGTTGCTGGGATGCAAGAACACTTAGGTCACATGATGAGTTAGCAGGTAATGTTAACGTAGAAAATGACACAATCAGTAGGTTTGTTCACAAAACAAGCTATAAATCAACTGATGGCTTGAACTTACAGCTTGGCGTAATGTCATTATTATATTTTAATTTGTTATTTCTTTACCATAGGTTGGGTTAGGCACTAACATATCAGTTCTAATTAAGTCTAAAGATTTCTCAAGAAAGCGAAGGGTACAAAAACAATAATTTATTATGTCCCTCACTTTTCTTGCTGATCTCGGAACTAAAAAAATAAAAATGTGTTTTGTTTTTTTTAAACCAGCTTTTATTGACAAAAAAATCTTTAACATTGTCCTATCCACATCTTACAATATCCTTTAAATTATCAAACTTTACATACTTTGAAAAGTACTGTGTATTGTGGTAGTTCAGAATTACAAAGTTTTTTGGTTTTTTCTGTAGTCGAAATGCAGTGTGCTCTTTAACAATCTGTAAAAAGATTAAAAAGATTTATTGAAAACGAATTAACACCATGAATCATTTTATGAAAATAAGGGCTATAAATACTACAGCAAAATCAATTTATTTTGCTGTTCTTTTAGCTGGGTAAAGGGCTAGCTTAATTTGCCCATAATACACATCCAGTATCTCCGCTACCTGGAGACTCTGCATTCGGGTTGCCATAGAAACTAGATACTATCTTAACCCTTAGAGGGGTGATCAGACCAAGATGGCCTCCCTTTCACAATAATGAAAAAAAAAAAAAAGGTCATGTTTATACTGTGTTTTATATTTGCAACTTATGCTGTAAACATCATTAGAGTCTTCATGCTGATTGGGGACTATAAATGTTGTGGCTGTGATTGATATAGACTAAGAATTCCTAATGATTGAGAAATATTAAAATTGAAAATATAATATAAAAACAATAGCAAGGCTACGGTGACCATGATGATCCCAAATGAATTCGGTCACCCTCTTTTTCTCAATTACCTTACTTTCAATTTACATATAAATATCCTTTTGCGTCTTTTTAAATTAGTATGAAATTATTTTGCTCATGCAATTTATCCTGTTTTCTAGAATGTTAACAAATATATGAGAAATGTTTGCTTTAAGATTAAAACAAGTGTGCCCCCTGGTGGTAAATCTTAGATAATGAGTGAGTGTGCTTAATCTTGTATGTTTTATATTAGCTAGTATTGCAAGTATTAACAGAAGATGTCTCAATAACATAAATAATTTACATGTTAAATTATACTATTAAAATGTATGTTATAAATGAAGTTGCCAACAAGTACAGGTTTACTTGTATGTAATATTTTAATTGGATCGGTGCCCAATCCTTGGGCCCATCATAACGTCTTTCTAAAACTAATAAAAGAATGAGTAGATGGCCAAGCCTCTGGTCTGAAAGTTTCTTCCTATACTTTATAATAAAATGTAAAAAAAAGAAAAAAAAAGTCAGAAGTTATTTATTTTTTTTATTTTTTTGTGAATATGTTGCCATTAGCATGAGATACATTTATTGTTTGTTTTTTGTGTATTAGAACTTACTGCTTTTATTTTGGGAGATTTTTTTTTCTACAGGCAGAAAATGGTGATGTGTGGCCATTGCTTTATCTTTGAAAGACAGCTGCAATTTAAGTATAAGTTTGTTGGTGTTTTTTTTTTGTTTGGATAGTTACTTTCCTAAATCAGCTGAAGTAAAGTGGAAGTACAAAAACATGCTGGAAGCATCCAAAGTTGAGATTCTAGTCCCAAGTAGCAATACCTTATACACAGGGCCAACACAAGATTATTTTGCTTCCTATGCCAGCTACTTGCACCCCCCTTCCCTCCCCAAATCCAAAACAACAATTGTCAACTTTGTGTGTCTTTCTACCTCAACTCCTCTGTGGTTTTTTTACTCTTCAGCCCCTCTGTTTGTCTGTTCCCCCCAACACCTTTGTGGGTCCTTTACCCCCTCCAGCCACTGTGTGAGTCTTTCACCCCAGCCTCTTTCTGTGTCTCTTTCTCCCTGCAGTTCTTTTGTGTCTCTTTGTCCCCTTATCAAGCCCCTTTTTTTCCCTCTTTCTCCCCCCAGCCCCTTTGCGTCTCTCTCTCCCCCCAGCCCCTCTGTGTCTCTCTCCCCAGATCCTCTGTGTCTCTCTCCCCCCAGCCCCTTTGTGTCTCTCCCCACAGCCCCTTTGTCTCTCCCCCCCACAGCCCCTTTGTCTCTCTCTCCCCACAGCCCCTTTGTGCCTCTCTTTCTCCCTCCAGCCCCTTTGTGTTCTGTTTTCTCCCTCCAGCTCATTTATTTCTCTTTCTCCCCCCAGCCCCTTTGTGTCCTGCTTTCTATCCCCAGCTCATTGTGTCTCTCACTCTCCCTTAGCCCCTTTGTGTCTTTTCCTCCCGCCCAGCCCCTCTGTGTCTCTTTCAACCCCCAGCCCCTTCGTGTGCTTTCAGCCCCAGCCCCTTAGGTGTCTTTCAGCCCCCAGCCCTTAGGTGTCTCTTTCAGCCCCCAGCCCCTTGTGAAAGCCTTGGTGTCTTTCAGCCCCAGCCCCTTAGGTGTCTCTTTCAGCCCCAGCCCCTTAGGTGTCTCTTTCAGCCCCAGCCCTTGGGTGTCTCTTTCAGCTGGCCTTTGTGTCTCTTTCAACCCCCAGCCCCTTTGTGTCTCTTTCTACCCCCAGCCCCTTTGTGTCTCTTTCTACCCCCAGCCCCTTTGTGTCTCTTTCTACTTCCAGGCCCTGTGTGTGTTGCTTTCTCCCTAAGGCCCTTTGAGTGCCTCCCCCCAATGTGGGTCTCCCCCCAAGCCCCTCTACATGGCTTTCATACCCAGTGCATTGCTATGTCCCCTCTGCACCTCTTTGCCCCCCCGCCATCTGCGTGCCTCTTACTTCCCCCCCTCAGTCCTCTGTGTACCCCTTCCTTCCCCCCACAGCCATCTATGTGCCTCTTCCTGGCTCCTTAGAGGTACCTTTTCTCCCCCCACATCAGCCCTCTGTGTGCCTCTTGTCCCCCTCCCCGTGCCAGATCACCCTATCTCCATGTAGCGCGGCAGAGCCGCGGACAGTGGTGGAGAAACTTCTGTTTCCTCTATCAGGTCTGGCAGAAAGCTGTTCAGTGCTCTCAGTGAGACCGGGTAGAGAATACAGAAGCTCCTCTACCGCAGTACATAGCTTGGTCAAGTCAGGAGGGTAGTGCTGTGCCGGCCACCTGGACATTGCGCCCCCCGGGCTTAGGTGACTGCCTAATTTGCCTAGTGGTCGAGCCGGTCCTGCTAATACAAGATTCATGATGAACTATATTAAAGCAGTAGGTTATGATCCCCTTTGGCAATTGCATAGTTGCCAATGTTTGATAAAGGATTTCAGGAACATTTTGGTTTAAGCAAAATGTCTCCTGGACTTTTACATCTAATTTTCAGTGAATATTTGGTGCAAGTTATTAAATCGGTCAAGTTTTTTTAAAATCAGTTGCTTTTCTATCCTATCAGTTTTGAATATATGCAATTTTTTTTCAGCAGCTTGACGAATTTAGCAATCTCTTTGACACTCTTTTTGACAGAAAAGTGTTCTGCTTCACTTCCTTTGCTTCACAGTTTAAATGTGGCACACTTTAAATTAATGATCACAATAATGACAGAATGTAGCCTTTATATTTCAGAACGCTTTAATAAGCACCATTGTGGCAAGTTTGCAAGCTAGGGGATGTAAGCCACACTAAACAATGCTTTCTACAGATCCATCTATTTTGTTCCACCCCAAAACATCCACGTATAGTTAATCTCCTCAGAGACACATGATCCTATCCAGTACATTCCACCACAACCACCATAGCCCTCCCATAGCTAAAATCTGTGAAACTGCAGGGGGGGGGGGGGGCATCCAGCGGCTGTCTGCAAGACAGCCACAAGAAGCAGCGTAATCCCCTGCAATGATAACATTGCAGGTTCTCTAAAACTGCATCCAGACCACTTCAATGAGATCAAGTGGTCTGGGTGCCTACTGTGCCCCTTTAACAATGCTTTAATTACGCTCTACTTTTTACTTTGTAAATTGTAACATTCTTTCAGTTTCAAGTTATTCAAGAAAATACATGACATAAAATATTATCAATTAAAATACACATTTCTACCAAGAGTATTTAGATATTTACCTGGTACTGTATATGCATATAAATATTGATTCCAGCATGGAATTAAACACAAGGAAAAACCCTGAGCAATGTCCCTAATCCTTATGCACATTTAAAGAACAGGAGGTTTTTAATACCACTCCAACAGCCACTAACTGCCCCATCAAGGCAAACAATCTTAAGGGAGTCCTAACCCAACAATTCACCTTGCCACTTTCAGATGAAAGGCAAAATCTCTAATGAGACAGAGAGAGGTATTTTTTTTTATAAATCCCTACACAGTTATTAATAGGCAAGACATGGGTGGATGTAAGCACTGTAACATGGCTGTGTAATACAAACGCAATTACAAAACACACAAATTAAGCCCTGCGCTCCAACTCCCACTACCCACGGGCGGCAGTAATGGCTACGGTATACACCAGCCCAATTACAAACACACAAAACTAAGGCCATGTGATACAAAAGCAAATACAGGGGGGTTATTTTTGATTCGTGTTTCTGCCCTATTAGGCTTGTGAAAACTCTGGTAAATTATTACTGTTGTTTATTATTTATTTGCCTTTGTATTGTCATTTTTGTAATTTTGTGTGCTGTACATATTTAACCAATTATTGGTTCATTAAATAATTGTACATACTTTATTGATTTTGGCGTGCATTCTCTTTTATACAATATTGATGTTTATATTGGTACTGGAGGGAGTACTGGAGAGGAATAGCACCCAGGTTGATATTATTTGTTGTCTCTCCATACTTTGTTATTGTATGACAAAAGCAAATACAAAACACACAAAATCTGTCTCACTAAGTGGGGGTATGGAAAAATAACACTGTCACATTAGAGAATTTGGGTTTTAGTTGAAAGTAGCAAGGTGAATTTTTAAAGTAGGCCTTGCCTGGACAGGGCATGGCAGCTTGCACTTTAATGGCCATTGGAGTGATACTAAAAAACTCCAGATATTTAAATGTGCATAAGTATTTGGGATGGTGCTTTTGTTACATAATATTGGCGTGGTGTCCAAGCTCACAAATGGAATATCATGATCCGCGCGCACTGTTGATATTATTGGTGTGGAATGTTACCCTCTCTTATATGGAGACTATTCACCTGCATCTTTTTTCACAAGTTGTCTAAGGGACTGACAATGGAGCACATGGGATCTCTAGTTCCCCTTCAGGACAGGGCACTGTGCCTCATGATATGACACTTTGTTTTCCAACTTATCCAGATACACTTTGTGTTATAAAAGCCATTAAATACAAGCTAATGCTCAAAATATGAGGGACAGCAGTTTATCTTTTTTTCAGAACTTAGCTGAGCTACTCTACTGTGGAGATAGGTTACTAAACGGCTTCAGAATTCTTAATCATGTCTTCACCATATAAAGCAGGAGAAATCAAAGTACTTGTTTTAATGTAAAGCGGTCTTGGTGTGCAGATTATGCAGTCTCCCTGCTCAATTCTCTGCCATTTAGAAGTTAAATCACTTTGTTTATGCAGCCCTAGTCACACCTCCCTGCTTGTAACATGCACAGTCTTCCTAAACACTTCCTAGAGATCTGATGTTTACACTTCCTTTATTGCACAGTCTGTTTACTTTGGAATTTCTTATATCCTGTACTGTTCATAGCTTCCTAAACCTTGCAGAAGCCTCCTGTATTTGAATAAAGTTCAATTTAGAGAGTAGGACATAAAAACTTCTAAAGTAAGTTAACATCTGATTGAAACTGAAACCTTTTTTTAAAGCAGGTGGTGTCAGTCACAGCCAGGGGAGGTGTGGTTAGCGCTGCATTGACAGAAAAAGTGATTCAACTCCTAAATGACAGAGAATTTAACGGTGAGACTTCGGAGGTATAATCTATACACCAAACTGTTTCATTAAGCTGAAGTTGCTTTGGTGACCATAGTGTCCCTTTAAGTACTAGATAAGCTGTTACTTTTTATGGCCTCCATCTGTTTCCGATTCTGTAATGAACCCCAGCAAGATGTGTAAGGTTGGTGCAGAATGTGCTTGAGGATCAGACACTCTTTGCAAAAATTATACAACTAGAATACTAGAGAAGCCACTTACCTTTATGCCAATGCTACGCAACCTTATCTGTGGTACCAACCATTCCCTCGAAAGAGTCAATGCAGTCAGGCAATCTCACAACATTTCTTTGTGCTGAAATTCAGAGCAGAGGCATCTTTGGGCTGAGCCTGTATAGTGGGTGCAAGGGTTATCTGCTCTAAATGTACCTGGACTGTACTAAGCAGGCTCCAGGAAATAACCAAACTTAGAGTCAGATCGAGCAAACCCTGTAGGTCCATCATCTCCCAACCTCCTGTTTTATAATGGTATCAGTGACTTATGTGACAAGCCACTAGTTCTAGGATCACTAAGCCTGCAGTAGGAGCAAAAATGTCACCCTGGGCATACTGTGATTGAAACTCCATATTGTCTAGGAATCAGAGACATTTTTAAGTGAATGCCGACAACAATACTTTAAAGGGACACTCCATTAGCAAAACACAAAAAAAAATTAAAAATAAATTTAAATCACTGTTTAGTAGATATAAAACATTCATCAGCCTAATAAAGCATTTTTTCTTTAAGGGTATATATAAAAAAAAACATTAAACAGCTTGCAAAACCTGCAGAGTTGCCTTTGCAAGCCTTCCCCAAGCCAGATTTTCTGTGGCTGTCCAATCACAGACAGGTACTCTAGGAGATTGTCCACCACTAATTGACAGACAGGTGTGTGTGTGACAAAGTTTAACTTATAAAAGTGACAATTTCTATCGAAATCTGCACTTTCTGTAAAATTAAACAAAGAAGGGCTTTAGAGGTTCGGAATGTCCCTTTAAGGATCCCCTTTAAAAAAGTTATATAGCTCCCATAAATACCTCCTGACTAAACTATTTTGATTAGTTTATCAAAGCAATGGCACTATTTGAATGTTGTCTCAAGATAATAAACTATATTATACTTCTGTCATATCTGTGACCCCTTAAGGACAGAAACTAAGCCCTGTATAAATGTTGCCTTGGCTCAATACATACAAGATTACTTTAAAAAATGGTTGTAGCCAGTTATATTTTCCAGACGATGACGGATTTTCTTGTGCCCAAGAAAAAGGGATTGCTGAGGCCAGGTACCGATAAGATTACATTAGAAAAGGAAACCTGCTGCAGCTCATCTCTGCACTTTATGGCTTACTGAAAGGGAAAACTGTTGCCTACATGAGGCAACCTAAATATGCACATCTCCATGAAGGGGGACTAATGAAAAACTGCAGCATCAGGGACACTACAAGCAGTTGGTAATTCTGTTCACACATAGCATCATGATACAATTGCATTTCCATTTTCATGCATTTTTCATTTTCACATTCTTTAAAGATACCTTTCTTTTATATACACGTTATATAAAATGGACTCCGCAAGTTTTTATTTTAGTTTTTTTCAATCCATGTATATTTTTAATTTATATCTTGTTAAATATATGACCAGAGGGAACATAAAAGGATACTGCATGGTTTTAAGAGAAGGACCACTGAGCTGAGAAATGCACCTTTGAACAATCCAGTTTCGCGATCATAGGCTGCATTATATATCTGCAGGGGCTATAGCTTGATTTCTACAAGCTCTCCATAATCACTGTGTGAGACCGCAAGGGCTCACACAACATTTTCTCTGCTCAGCAAATCAATTTGGGAACAGGGAACTCTTTAAATTGTTAAAGAATGGCAACCACACACGAGAAGGATTTGGGAATTGTTATAGACAACAAATTAGGCAGCAATGTCAATCTGCAGTTGCTAAGGCCAGTAAGATTTTGTCATGTATAAATAGGGGCATAAATTCTCGGGATGAAAATATAATTTTGCCTCTTTATAAATCGCTGGTAAGACCACACCTTGAATATGCTGTGCAATTTTGGGCGCCTGTTCAAAAGAAGGATATCATGGCACTGGAGAGGGTCCAGAGACGAGCTACAAAATTGATAAAAGGAATGGAGCATTTTAGTTATGAAGAAAGGTTAAAAAATTTAATCTGTTTAGTTTGGAAAAACGGCGCCTGAGAGGGGATATGATAACATTATACAAATATATTCGGGGCCAGTACAAACCTTTATCTGGAAATCTATTCATAAACAGGGCTATACATAGGACACGAGGTCACACATTTAGGCTGGAAGAAAGGAGATTTCATCTAAGGCAAAGAAAAGTTTTTTTTTTACAGTAAGAACAGGATATGGAATTCTCTGCCTGAAGAGGTGGTTTTGTCAGAGTCCATACAGCATCCATACAGATGTTTAAACTGAAATTGGATAAATACTTACAAAAACATAACATACAGGGATATAATTTCTAATTAGTGGGGTAATAGCTGCTTGATCCAAGGAGACATCTAACTGATATTTTGGGGTCAAGAAGGAATTTTTTCCTAGTTTGTGGCAAACTTGGAAGCGCTTCAGACCAGGTTTTTTGCCTTCTTTTGGATCAACAGCAACAACATTTGTGAGGAAGGCTGAACTTGATGGACGAAAGTCTCTTTTCAGCTATGTAACTATGTAACACTTGCTGGTAGGTGCTTCAAAGCCATTTGCAGTATTTTTTTATTATTTTTATTTATTTTTTTACAGGTCACAAGAACCTCCAATACCTGGAAAACACTAAATGTCTGGCTTCCACAAAAAAAACCCCCCAAAAAACAAACCTGTACTTTAGTATATATATCCTAATGAAATGGACAATTCACTGCTTAGAGTTCATATAAGCATCCCTGAAAGTTATATTAATCTAAAGTCATCTTCCAATCGTAGCATAACATATCTTAAGACAAAGCAAAATTGCAAAATTTAAAAAAAAAAAACACCACCATTAGACTGAATACAGCATTAGTCCATAACATATATAAGCATAACCGATTTTATCCACATATCCCAGAGAGAGCATATGATATTAATTAAAATGAATTAATGTGAGATGAATGTTAGGGAATTACCATCTTTCATGCTGGAACATCACACAAAGGAGAAGCATGAGCAAGCACATTAAAGAATTATTTCGCATTAATCGTCATAGTCACAGACTCAAATACAGTGCAAGAACTCTGGATAGCATCACCCAATGCTCCCTTCTATCCATGAGACTGCGTTCTCAACTTATGTTGCAAAACAAAATGCTCTATTGAACAAGACCGATTATTCAGGCTAGACATCCATCTATTTGACCCTGCAATGCTCCAGGAGTTTCAAAGAAAAACTAAAGGCATCCAGACCACTTCATCTTAGAGTAACTGTCTGGGTGCAGTGATCCTTTCATTTTAACCCTGCAATTTAAAACATTGTCTTCTAGTATGCCAATGTTTTGTTGCAGGGTTAAACGTGCCTCTTTTCTTGACAGCCAATAAGGATCTTCTCTGTGAAAACCAAGTCAAACATAGAGTAGCATTTATTTGGCTCTGCACGGAGATTTGCTGCGCATTTGCACTAGTTTCCCAATGCTTCCCTGGAAACGTTTCCAATTATTTTTCAGTCATGTCTGTAGTTTCTTCTGTGTGATATAGTAATGATTTAGAAAGGAAACATGTAGTGCTATTTACTCAATAAGGAACTAAAGTCTTGTATCATATTGAACGCCAGTTACGCCACTACTTGGATCAACAAGTTGTTACCCCACATATTACTTATAACATCCTTTGATATTCTAGGTTTTTTGTTTTTTTTAAAAGCCATCTAGAAATCGCTTAAAAATCTGAACAGAGTCTGATAAAACAACCATTTTAGGTAGAGAATTACGTCTTTATTGCCATTACTGTGAACAACTATTTCCTTCATTGCAACTCAAATCTTACACACCTCACGCAGTTGGTTGAAGCCTTCTAATATTGCATATTCTATGCAGGTTTTGTAAAGCTCTAAATATATATATATATATATATCAAAAAAATGTAAATGCTTTATTTAGGTTCCGTTCTGACACAGAAAGTCACCACCCATTACAAGATAAAAAGGCATGGGATACTACAATCAGATTTAACAGTCAGCTGGTATAGAGTCAGAACAAGAGATTTTGTTATTGTAAAGACACGAATTGGTGTACAGGCTATAGCCAGACCCTGAAGGGTGCATGAGTAGAGAGGAAACCTTCTAGCCACAGTTGGCTAAACTGCACGTTACATAAGAAACAGTTATAAAAGAAGAACAATAGTAAAATAAAACACAGCAGTGTATATGAAATAAACAGGAGTCCCAGGTAAACATAGAGTGATTGTAGGACACAGGTAGACAGTTCGCAGTAGATCCTCAACCAACTCCCGATCTCGAGGCCTGCGGCATTTTGGCAGGAATCAGATCAGCGGTATTGTGCAGCCTGCCATCGAGTGATCTGCAAGATAACGTTGTACCTGCAAGGCCAGAGAGCCGCTCTAGTAATATGAATCTGTCAGCTTGAAGGAGGTCATGTCGGCACACAGTCCCAACTCCCTGTTTTTGCAGAGACAGAAGACCGCACCGGGCCCGTTGCTCCAATTCTGTCAGGCATCCAGCCCTATATTAGCTCCTGCCGAGGGAACTTGAGGTGGTAGGTGTGTATCTGGTTTATCCAGTAAGCTCCGACAGACGGGCGCACCCTCCGACCTCCTCTGCCTATTAAAGACCCGATGCAGAACTTTTTCAAAGATGGCGTCCAGTCTGCTTGTGCAGGCCTCCAGCCACGAGGAGGGAGCCACCTGCTATCACCGCTGCGATGTGAGAATGGGTAAGTATCCACTGCTTAGAGTGGGCTCCTGGGACCGGGATGACCCCCACCCATCCAGAGAGGGGGGTGAGGCAGGGGCTCGTGGTTCAATAGCAGGATGTTTCAGACAGTGGGAGAGCGTCTGTCTCTCCCACGCCCACACCTTGAGTATGTCGCCAGTAGGTTAGAGCCTATGAGCGGTCCAGCTCTATACATACAAAAGTCGGTTTCAGCACCTATGCATCCAGAGCACAGAGTTTGTCAATAATTAAGGGCAAATGTTGTTAAATATTTAGGTATCTACTGTAGAGCCATAGCACTGTGCGTCCACTCCGCGTGGCGGCCGAGCTCCGCCCCAGCTCTAAATATTTTAATTAAAAGTTTTGTGTATCCCTTGTTTGCACATTCTTATCTCTGCTTTAAAACTTAAACATAGGCATTATGTAATTGTATGTGATTGGTCTGATAAAAATAAAAAAAAGCTGTAAAACAATATAGGATTAAGTAGTGGTGCTTTAAATTGTAAATAAATGTAATTTTGAAGAGTAACGTCTAAAGGTAAACACAAAGAGAAACACTGCATATTTTGCAGAACAGGGTACCAAAAAAAATACAAACACATTTCTATGGTGAAAAAAATGATTTGCCATAGGAGGTTTTCATAGAGAATAATAAATAAAGCACAATTTATGTATCACATTTAAAGGACCACTATAGTGCCAGGAAAACATACTCGGTTTCCTGGCACTATAGTGCCCTGAGGGTGCCCCCACCCTCAGGGACCCCCTCCCGCCCGGCTCTGGAAAGGGGAAAAGGGGTTAAACTTACCTTTTTCCAGCGCTGGGCGGGGAGCTCTCCTCCTCCCATCCTCCTCCTGGGCTGAATGCGCACGCGCGGCAAGAGCTGCGCGCGCATTCAGCCGTCACATAGGAAAGCATTCATAATGCTTTCCTATGGACGCTGCGTGCTCTCACTGTGAAAATCACAGTGAGAAGCACGCAAGCGCCTCTAGTGGCTGTCAATGAGACAGCCACTAGAGGATTAGGGGGAAGGCTTAACCCATTCATAAACATAGCAGTTTCTCTGAAACTGCTATGTTTATGAAAAAATGGGTTAACCCTAGCTGGACCAGGCACCCAGACCACTTCATTAAGCTGAGGTGGTCTGGGTGCCTAGAGTGGTCCTTTAAAGAGACACTCTGCACTGGTCACAAATCAGCAGCCCTTTTTTATGAATGGAGAACTACTGATTTGCTTAGAGCATTAGCTGATTGCACAAGACAAATCAGTGGCACTCCTGCCCTACTACACTCTGCCCTTCCTGAAAGTTAATTTCAGAAGTCGGATGCTGCCGTTCAAAACTTAAATTTGCCAACAAAGCTACCATACAAGAAGTAAGGCACTTACTTTGTGTTCTCTGCTGGTACTGCAAATACCCACCTGCCTTATACCTACAGGTGCATACTCAACTGAATTCCAATTAAGGGCTGCCATGATACGGGAATTTTGATGCCTTTTAGAAACTCTAAGATAACTCCATTAAGATACACTTCCAAAAGAAAAAAGTAAAGAGTAATAGAATTTGAGGGGTATGTAAATATGGAAACATCATGGCAAGTGCTTATAAAAGCAAAGAGAACTGGACTGTCGCAAAATGCATGACAAGCAGATGCTCACAGAGGTTGCAACAGTTTATCAATTAAACACAGTGAATTCTATTCTTCATATATAGTTGTACAAAAAACACAAACTCTAACCAAAGCATAAAACACAGATTTCAGTCACATTGTTAAAAGGAAACAAGGCAGTTGAAGCTTATTTTAATATAGTAAAAGTACAATGACGATTGTTACCAAGTGTGCACATATCATACAAAAACAAATGATTAGTTACTTATTGTTTTTCCACTTTTGCTATGGTAAGTCGGAAGCTCCTGCTAGAATCTTCTTATAGCTCTCCTGAGCTAACCCCTGCAGTGCAGCGCCAGCTTACTAACAGAGCATCAGCTGATCGCTCTCAGCCAATAAACTCAGACCTGCAACACTGGGCTTAGCTCAGGCAGGGAGCTTCCAACTCTAATAAAAGATAGAGAAGACTTAAGGGGCAAATCAAGCTTAACCCTAAAAATAGGACCATGTGGGTAGGAATTTTTTCTTATCAGCTTCCAACTCTAATAGAGGCAGGGACCAGCAGACCCCAGTAGGAAATCAAACTGTTTGACTACTTACATTGTGGGGAAGTAGAGTATTCCTGGCAGCATAACCGCTACAGTGCTCTGTAGTGGTTTTCGTACCTGGAGTGTTCCTTTAAGGTTTACAATTGAATGGAGTTTCAGATTATAGGGTATATCCACACATTTGAACAGAAAATTCACTAAAAACAAATTAAGGGTCAAACTGGGATTAGATCAGATGCAATTATAATTCTACACAATTTCAGCGTTATTCACTAAAACAAGAATTGTCTGGAATTCAAAGTGAATATTAAATTTTGGGCCAAAATAGCAAGGATTGAAAAAGTCTCTCTAATTCACATATTGAAAGTTGTACGGGCATCCATTATGCCCTTTTAAGACAGGCATTATTTTGAGTATTAAGTGGGTAAAAGCTGTGGAGTTTGCATTCAAAACCTTTGACTCCTTAATTTAAAATACCTACGACTAACATTATATTATATGAAAGTCATGGCCAAAATTGTGGAAAACTATTGGGGAGACAAAATTTTCAATGTTTAATGCGTATTCTTTAGAATAATCAGAAAATAATAAAAAGTAAAGTTGGTAAAACACAGAACAAAGGGTGCTACAATCACCGTGTGTATCACTCCAAACACACAGAAAACAGTGAATTATACAATAAATAGTGGAGCACACAGTAAATAAAATGTTACCACAAACGGCACATACAATAGATGAATCTAAAACCAAAAAGGGACATGCACATAGGGTAACAGAGTTAAAACTGGATAATTGATCAAATCAATGTTGGATCCACTCACATGGTTCTGAGCCACTCCACAAGCTGGCTCAGACGAAAAGCTGAATAGCATAAGGAATGGTGGATCTGGATACTCGGGTTCACAGCTTAGCCTTTTTCTTAAGGTGCAGCCCAAAGGAAACTCCAATAGATGTATAAAATCACAGACCTTATTTAACAAACTGCCAGAATACCTTACAATAAAATTAAACATAGTCCACCTCCACTTGACGCGTTCGGCTGGTTTGCCTTTTTCAAAAGTGGTTCCGAAATTTTAATTTAATTTACAGTGTACTCTCACCACTATTTATTGTATACTTCTTTAGAATAATGCCATAACATTACATATCACTAGACAGATATTTGAATACACAATGTAATGCAACAAATGTGTTGAATTATCTTTATTCTAAATAACCAGTAATAGAAAACACAATTGCCTTATATAACATGAAGTGAATGTCCTTAAAGGACCACTGTAGGCACCCAGATCCTTCAGCTCAATGAAGTAGTCTGGGTGCCAGGTCCCCCTAGTTTTAACCCTGCTATGTTTACACTGCAGGGTTAATCCAGCCTCTAGTGGCTGTCTCCCTGTCAGCCACTAGAGGCCGCTTCCGTGATTTACACTGAATAAATCACACTTATCTGATGGAGCCCAGCATCAGATAAGATCCCCATAGGAAAGCTTTAGGTAATGCTTTCCTACGGGCGGGTTTGTATGCGCGCACGCCACTGGCTGCACATGTGCATTCGGCTCCACTCGGGAGCTGATTTCGGCGGGGGAGGAGAGGTCACCAGCGCCGAGGGAGCCCGGCAATGGATTAAGGTAAGTGGCTGAGAGAGGAGGACCCGAGGATGGGGGGCTCTCCAAGAGTCAATAGTGCCTGGCACTATAGGATCCCTTTAACTTAAAACAGACCAATGAGATGGATTGTCAATCAGGTGTTACTATGACACAGCATGAAACAAAGAAGGTATTAGTACTAGTCAGTTCCCAAATTCATGTATTAATTAGAGCAAATAATAGGACTCCTATTCGTTTGTGTTAGTGTCATTACATTGGCCAATATTTTTTCACCTAGAAAGCAATGTAAAATAACACTGCATAAAGAAAGCAACCCTTATGAGGAAATCTAACCTAAGCTGTGCAAGAGGTATCTGACAATTCAATTCAAAACCAAATTGGGAAAAGGTACACAGCACAGGGTAGTGATAGAATAATTAAGATACTGTGTTTAAAGTGGCAGAAGAAAATTACCTGAGTTAAATAAAAATTAATTGTCGCAATGTGGTTTGAAGATGAGTGCTAGAACTTTTAGACGCAGAGACAAATATTTAAAGTTCTAGAATTCCAAGGAGAAAATGATTTCTACATCCTAAGAAGGAAGAGATTAGAATGCACTAAAGGGATGTCAATTTGTCTGAGGAACAATGGGATAGGGTCATCTGGAGTAAAGAGACAATAATATTGATAATTGGTGGTGAAGGAATAAAGTATGTAAGAAGAAAAATTGGAGAGGATTTGCCCTCTGAATGCATTACAGCTGCCATAAAGCACCCAGTTAGCGTTATCACCTAGGGTGTCATGACAGCCAATGTTGTGGACAGATTTTGTATGACTGACGGTACTCTAAATGGCAAAAATACGTGTGATATAATTGAGCCAAATTATAGAGGCAATCACACAACATTTCACATTACATCACCTGATGAACTGAAACACCTGGTTCACTCCACGGGACGCCATTTTATAGCTGTAATTGCGGCACGTTTCCCAACTCTGTACTAAATAGTAAGCAGGTATGAAATATGATTTACCATGTTTTTTTTTGTATAACTTCTTTTAAAATTGCAATTTGTTTCAAATAAAGTGGTTGCATTACATTCTTTATAAAATTAAACTAATAAAATATAATTTTATAGCAGTATTCAAAAAAAGACAGCTGTTATGATCCATCAAATCTCAGAAATTCACATTTTCCAAACGGTTTTAAAAAATGTGGGCACTAATATATCATTATAATTACTGTATTACAATTTACCATACAAGTAAGTCGACATATTAAGCTAAAACAAATATTATAAGAGGGTAGACCAATATGCCAAACAAAGTTGTTAATACCTAGACCAGGATGAAAAGAAGGCCTTGGGCCAATGCCTTCCTGAGACATGCAATGATTCCACCCATCTTATATCTCTTGCTTACTTCTCTTCTAAAGATATGGAATTACTTAAAGACTTACCATTAATGTTATCACTCAACTGAATATGCTGAGGAACTATTATGTACTCTTAATACACATATTATTATTACAAATTTCAGGAGATCTAGCAGATGACACTACCTCTTGTGGTATCGTATAATTTGTATGTAAGACACGGATGACTGGCTGGAGAGATATGCACTATTGCACACATACACACCACCTACCAGCAAAAGGTAGTAAACTACAAGCGAATATAAATAATAATAATAATAATAATAATAAAATAACCTATCATAACAGAATGTAGTAAGTAAAACATTTATAATTTTCTATTTGTTTATTTCTGCCTAGTCTTTGCCCAAATCACAATTGTACAAAACCATAGGGCTAGCAGAAGTTCAAACGATTTACATTATCGATCAGTCGAATATAGGCCTAAACCTATAGAACACCTCTAGTTTTTGGCGGTCGGCTTATACTGTACATTTAGTCAGAGTCACTAACCCACAATTGTTACCGACTCCACAGCCCTGGTTTTTACGGACTATAGCACTAACATCCACTGTAGTTACATTGTATTCATAGTACTGTAGTCACATCCAGGACAAATTAATGACCTTATCACTTAAAATACACACTCACATTTCATTTTCACAGTTTCTACAAGTGATAGAACCACACGGATTTTACAAAACAAATTCGAATGATAAAAACCATGTGCAGAATTGTATTTTTTTCCCCCATATAAAGGTGTTTCTTACTAGACATTGCTGCTGTAGAGTAGAGTAGTGGAGAAGACGAAGATAGGAAAGAGGTGGGTTAAGCAGGAAGCCTTAGTGAATTGTGCTGTATTCTGTGCACATTATTATTCAACATCCACATCTATCATATGGTTTAAGAGTTCAATTTGTAAGGCAAATCGTGAACCCGTGGGATGCCATTACTCAACAATAGTAAAGGGACACTATAGTCACCAAAACAACTTTAGTGTAATGAATGCCCATCATGCCCCCGCAGTCTCACTGCTCAATTCTCTGTCATTTAGAAGTTAGATGTGCTTTGTTTATTCAGCCCTAGTCACACCTTATACATGTGACTTACCAAGCCTTCCTAAATACTTCCTGTAAAGAGTCATCTAATATTTACATGTGCTTTATTGCAAATTCTGCTTAATTTGATATATCTCTTATCTTATGCTCTGTTAATGACTTGCTAGACCCTGTAGGGTAGGGGTCTCCTGTATGTGAATAAAGTTCAATTTACAGATGGGAGATAAAAACTTTTTTTTTTTCGTGTTTGTCACAGCCAGTAGATGTGTGGCTAGGGCTGCAAGGACAGAAACAGGTGTAATTTAACTCCTATGTGGCAGAGAATTGAGCAGTGAGACTTCAGATGTATTATCAATACACAAAAACTGCTTTACTAAGCTTAAGTTGTTTAGGTGACTATAGTGTCCCTTTAAGTCAATTTGTGTGCATAATACTAATATGGCAACTGGTATTTGCCAAACATAAAAAATAAAGGCACAATAGCTTTCAAATTAATATTAAGTTAATATGGTTCTTTTCATGGTTTCATAAATGAAAGCAGAGAATTGTATTTCACACAAAAATATTTAGAAAGCAACAGAAAATACAGTAGATATTAAGCATTGTTTGGAGATTCATACACTAATTAGCAACTTGTGGAAAGAATACCCAGTTCCTGTGTTACATCAACACAACTGAAAGTATATTTTATAGGAAAAAAAATAAAAAAAATAGGAAAAAAAAAATTTATATATATATATATATTCCCAGCACTCGATGCTCCCGGTCTTTTAATTCTCCGGTGCTGTCTCCAACCAAATTGTATACGATACCAGTAGAGAGCGTTCAGGAGTCTTTCAAGGTAAATTTCGTCTGTTGCTTTATTGAGAAATTACAAAATTCACACAGCGTTACAGTTGACATTTCAGTCTGTAAAATACTTTTTTCAAGACAATTGTGTATGTGAGATGGATACCTTATATACAAAAAATTCAGTGATCCTATTTGGAGGTGAACAGGTGAAAGGTAACAACGGATCAGAGTGATGTCATTAATGATGTACACATGTTTGAATTACATAATAAATTGAAGTTAATCCTATGTGTAACCGGTATGTGAAACATACTCTGGTGTAGATAAGTCAGAAAGTAATAAAAGATAAATAACTCTAAAAATAAAGTATATACAAATGTTTAAACTCTAACCAAGGGAACATAGATACATAGTACATATCGTCATTAGCTAAATATTAACTCAGTTGTATAGCAAAATATTGTCAGTGCAATTTTGAAGCATTATACGATATGGACTACTTCCATCATGGAGTTACGGCAAATAACTGTACTATATTAATGCATTCTGTAAAACATAGCTCAATCATATATTATCTTCTAGGTAAAAAACAATATAATGAGTTCTTCTCATTTAAACCAGATGGTGATAATGTGCTCGCACTGCCGCTCAGTAGTGCTGAACGTATAGTAGACCTGTGACCCCGCATGCATTCCCTTACGTCATTAGATGTCTCACGTAAGGGAGACCACAGGGGCATATAATTCTCTACACAACATGTGTGGTCCAGCACGTTGGAAACATTATCACCATCTGGTTTAAATGAGAAGAACTCATTATATTGTTTTTTACCTAGAAGATAATATATGATTGCGCTATGTTTTACAGAATGCATTAATATAGTACAGTTATTTGCCGTAACTCCATGATGGAAGTAGTCCATATCGTATAATGCTTCAAAATTGCACTGACAATATTTTGCTATACAACTGAGTTAATATTTAGCTAATGACGAGATGTACTATGTATCTATGTTCCCTTGGTTAGGGTTTAAACATTTGTATATAGTTTATTTTTATAGTTATTTATCTTTTTTACTTTCTGACTTATCTACACGAGAGTATGTTTCACATACCGGTTACACATAGGGTTAAAAATGTATTATGTAATTCAAACATGTTTATGTCATTAATGACATCACTCTGATCCGTTGTTACCTTTCACCTGTTCACCTTCAAATAGGATCACTGAATTTTTTTGTATATAAAGGTATCCATCTCACATACACAATTGTATTGAAAAAAGTATTTTACAGACTGAAACGTCGACTGGAACGTTGTGTGAATTTGTAATTGCTCAATAAAGCAACAGATGAAATTTACCTTGAAAGACTCCTGAGTGCTCTCTACTGGTATCGTATATATTTATTTGTGTTCGGGGCCATTTCAGTTATGAAATGAAATAGAGATAAAGTCATCTACCTTTAATAAGCAAAGTAGGTTGAGGTGTGCCGATACCGACGTATGTGGTAGGCCTTAAAATAGAGTGGACCTACCTTAGATAAAGTTGAATAGAGGGAGTGGAGGGTGGGCCAAGAGTATGTCTGGAACCAATCACGGTAATGTAGGGAAGGGGGGAGTCCCTTTTTAAAGGCACATAGCCCCTCCCACAATTTCAGGCCAAACCTTCCTATATATACACACACACACACACACACACTTATATGATGTCACTTTTATTCAGTGACATCAGAACAGAATGTGCCTTGTTATACCTCTTTAGTTTACCTTATGTATTAAACAAAATGGAGTCGTCTTAGATCAGGTTTACACAATTTCAGTTCATCTTTGCTAGTTCATCTTTCACCTAGGACACGCTAAAAAGTCATCATAATCTGGCATACCTGACATACACAATGTATGATCCATCAGTGGTGTCCAGTTTAAAGAGGTTTGGGAGTCATTGAATATTTCATGTAACAGCTTACTTATTCGTTGCTTAAAGTTTGCTAGGAAAAGCTTTTTCTGGTTTCCTCTGTAGACGCCACACATCTCTCACACTGTGTGTGACCCTGTTAAGCACCTGAAAGCCTTGCACATCGCCATGCTCTATATATCGGTGTAAAGCAGCCTGGAGAACTGTGAGCGGAATGCTGAAATTGAGGTGGGGATATGTAGCTCCTGTACCGTTATCTCTTGTGTTACTTGCAACAATGCCTTAAATAAAACAAAAACAGAATTAGACTATTACTATGAGGTAATTAATCAAAATCATGCATTGGCTAGAATGATATCTCTTTATAGAATAGGGCATGTGAAGAGGGAGACCAATTTATACACAGGACTGCAAGCTCTGCAGATTAACTACAATAAAAAGGACGCAGTCAAAAAAAGTGAGTGGTCGAGAATTATGGGAGAAGAGTATTTGATATATAGTCAAAAAGCAGTTGGAGTGGAGCAGTTGGACACATCTGAGTGATGATAGTTATATTTCATGTGTATTGTAAAGCATGCATGTAACTGGAAGTTTAGTTACCAAGAAGTTCCCCAGACTGTGTTGCGAACAACGGACCCCCGCTTGAGCCTCCATGAACAGCACAGGTTGTCTGAAGCATGACTGGGGACTCTTCTGTGCAAATTACTGCCGACAGGATCCCAGAAGTCACTGAAGGACCACAGTTCTCCCCAAAAGCCCCATATCCAACAACACACACGTCCTCACCTGGTGTGTAAAGAAAAGAGAGAGGGGTAAACCATGTAAAAACTTTAACTAAACATAAACCATCTTCTTCAAAGTAGCACTGTCACACTGAACTTACCTTTCTCCTATTGTGTCCTCTTCTCTTCCTCTCTCTGAAACTGTTCTTTTCTTTATTTCTGATTTAGTTTTCTTTAAATCATAAGACAAAGTAGGGACTACTTTGTCTTATGTATATTTCCTAAGCTTGACTTTCTATGACCAAATGAGGAGCTTACATCAGCTCCATTTTATGTGTTAAAGAGAAGGGCGTGTACTTTCTCTGACACAGGAAATGGAGCCGACTTAAGCTCCTCCTTTGGTCACAGAAAGTCAACCGCAGGAAAAATACATAAGACAAAAGTTGTTTTAGGTTTAAAGAAAACTAAATCAATAATAAAGAAAAGAAGAACAGATTCTGAGAGAGGAAGAGAAGAGGAAAAAATAGGAGAAAGGTAACATTGGTGTGACAGTGCCTTTCTAAATAGTCAACGGAATCCTATTTCTTCAGATATATAGATTACCGACCTACGGTGGTAATATCTCAAGCAGACAATTTTACCTCTTAGATAGGGAACTCAAATCCCATGTATGTAGAACAATATCAAAAATTACAAGTCAATATAATCTCAATATGGGCCAAGTTCTGTGCACTTAATCTTCAACTATAAACTGGTAACATGATGAATTCTTCCTTCTTTGCTTAAGGGACTTTGTGATCCATAAAAAGAAGTGGATGCCCAATCTACATTAATACTGTAAGTACTATACTAAAAGTATTATACTAAGTATACTTAATAGTACTGACATACTAAGTATACTTCTCTCTTCATAAATAATATATTCATACACAGATATTTTGACTTTGCATTTTTTTTATTTTCATTACATCACTAGATGGCAGTATAAGCACTTTTCAAAACTGGACTATTATAAAAAAAAAAATCTCGTGTTACTTAACACATTGTGTTAACAAAAGATACATATTATAATGAATACAAAAGATACAATAAAAATAACAATTGTCTTACATTATCATTGGTTGCTACAACAGACCCCCTTACAATATGATAACCTATATACTCCATAAAATATAGAATTGAATAGGAGATTAAACCTCAATGTATTTTTCTTTTGTTTGTCCCTTTGCTTCTAATTTTATTAAATGACACTGAGGCTCTTATTATGCTTTTCGCTTTCTTTTATTCCTCAGCAGCAAAAGAAAATATTGTATATATATTCAATGAAAAAAGAAAACAATTCAATAACACTACATCATAACTTCTAAAGGGTTAACCAAATACCACATAAGAACCAATCAGAGTGTCCCTATTACAATAAAGTCCCATGTGACCCTAAGCCACTTCGTTCGGTCTCTCATCGGCCCCCTGGTGCTTCACAAAGCTCATGAAACCAGTGGTCGCCCTCCTACGCAGCAGGGGAGTACGGCTCATAATATACCTGGACGATATCCTCATCATGGCGCAAGACCCGCTTCTGTTGCACGAACATTTCTCTTGGACGAGAAATCTGTTAGAAAGCCCAGGTTTTCTGATCAACTGGGAGAAGTCGGTCATGGAACCCTCGCAAGCAATAGAATTCTTGGGATTCACCATAGACGCGGTGACCGGAACACTCCTACTCCCAACGACCAAGGTCAAGGCCATCAAAAAGGAGCTCAAGCGGACGCTAACACGTCCTGTCCTTACTTTGAGACAGCTGGCCAGGATTGTAGGCCTCCTCTTGGCGTCAATTCAGGCCATCTTTCCCGGACCCCTACACTACAGAGCACTTCAACGATTAAAGGCAAAATACCTTCGTTTGGGGCACTCACACTCAGATTCTGTTCCTCTCGACTGTGCCGCCAAAGACGAAATCACATGGAAGCCTGGAATGGTCGCGCGATCTTCGTAACAGCTCCGGACCTCATAGTGGAATCTGATGCCAGCTTGCTCGGTTGGGGTGCGCGCTGTGGACCTTTCTCCACCGCAGGAAGATGGTCCAGGGAGGAACAGGGACTTCATATCAATTGCCTCGAACTGTTGGCAGGTTTGTTTGCTTTACGGAGTCTTTTGAACGTGTCGACCAACTGTTCCATCCTGTTACGCATGGACAACGTTTCAGCGGTCCGTTATATCAACCACCTCGGGGGCATGAGGTCAGCAATACTTCCGGAATTAGCGAAGGATTTCTGGCAGTTCTGCCTGGATCGCAACATATAAGTGCAAGCGGAACACATCCCGGGGATGAGCAATGTAGTAGCAGACTGGAACTACAGACATCTACGAGATGCCAGCGACTGGCGGCTGAACCCGGCCACCTTCAGCCATTTGCAATCACTGTGGGGACCACTGGACATCGACCTGTTCGCTTCACGACTAAACACGCAATTACCGAGGTTTTTCAGTTGGAGGCCGGATCCGGAGGCTCTAGCGATGGACGCTTTCCGACAACAGTGGCCGAATGCCAGACATTACGCTTTTCCCCCCTTTTCTCTCATCGCACGGACCTTGCTGCACCTCAGACAACACCGAACTTCTCTAATCCTCGTATCTCCCTTCTGGTCGTCTCAACCCTGGTTCCCTACACTCCTGGAACTGTCAATAGATCTGCCGAGGTTACTACCGGTACACGACAACATTCTCCTGGATCCCTATGGCAATCCACATCCTCTCATACTGCAGGGACATTTCAAGCTTTTGGCATGGCTCCTCTTAGGGGACTTGATGACATCCCAAATGTTCCACAAACAACTCTGGACCTACTGGCAGAAGCTTGGGCCCCAGGTACAAGGAAATCATATTTACATGCCTGGAACGCATGGTATGGTTGGTGCGTGGAACAACACGTGGATCCCATATCTGCAACTGTGAGTCAAGTCTTGGGTTTCCTCACTTCACTTTTCGACCACGGCCTGGCGTATCGTACAATTAATCTATATAGGTCAGCTATCTCAGCAGGGCACGCAGGTTGGAATGGAATTCAAACAGGGAAACATCCGATGGTATGTCGACTCCTACGGGGCATAAAATTTGTACGACCACCACGGCCTAGGTATTCGGAGGTATGGGATGTGAACCTCGTTCTCTGACTTTTTGAAAGTTGGCCAAGGAACGAAGACTTGTCGATCAAGCAACTCACCGCAAAATTGGTTACGTAGTTTTGTCTCATCTCATGTAAACGGGTCTCAGATGTACAAGCATTGGACATTCAGGCACGCTCATATACACCGGAAGGGGTGGCCTTTGATATATCGAGACGTACAAAAACATCCATCACAAAGGTTTTTTACCCCGCTTTTCCACATAACAGTAACTTATGCCCAGTAGCCTGTCTCAAGGAGTACAAAACAAGGACGGCGGCGGTCCGAGATCCTCAATGTGCAGACCTATTCCTGGCTATTCGACAACCGCATTGTCCGGTTTCTACAGTCACCATATCTCGCTGGGTCAAATGGATCATGACGTCGGCAGGCATGATACTTCCACATACGGAGCACATTCAGTGAGAGGTGCGATGGCATCAAAAGCTTTTTCATTGGGCTGTAAATTGGAAGATCTCCTCCGAGCAGCCGATTGGTCGAGAGAATCTACATTCCGGGACTTTTATTTCCGCCCGGTTTCCCATTTTTCCACGTCAGTGATCACACAGCTTTGAACTAGCATAATAGGAGCCTCCGTGTCCTTTAATAAAATTACCAGATTTTACTAATTTCATGACGTAAAGTCATGATTTTATAAAGGACACGCAGGCGAGTATTATCCCACCCAATAAAGGCAAGTTGCCCTCCTCTGGGAATGTAATGTATGTTATGGGACTGGAGCTGGGTGGTAATGTGTTATTTTATTTCCACTTGAGTGAATAACATGAGAATGATCTAGTGTTTAGATAGCGTTGGAATATGAACGTGGAAAAATATTATCCAAGAACACATTTTACCATCTCGTTTCTCTGTCTTACAGCTTTCTAATTGGAGTGCCATAATGATCCAGGCATGCCCGGAGGTGTGCGGATGGAGGATGACCAGTTTTTTCTTGAGGGTTTTTGGTTTTTTATCGACGTCATCTTCTGCTGGATTCACGGTTCTCTATACGACTACTGGTTATTTTCATTGTGGAATTTTGGAGTGTCCATCAGCAACACCAAAAGAAAGAGGAGTGGCTTAGGGTCACATGGGGCTTTATTGTAATAGGGACATTCTGATTGGATCTTATGTGGCATTTGGTTAACCCTTTAGAAGTTATGATGTAGTGTTATTGAATTGTTTTCTTTTTTCATTGAATATATATACACAATATTTTCTTTTGCTGCTGAGGAATAAAAGAAAGAGTAAAGCATAATACTCGCCTCCGTGTCCTTTATAAAATCATGACTTTACGCCATGAAATTAGTAAAATCTGGTAATTATATACATTATTATAAGCGATTTTAAAGGATCTGTCAACCCTAAAATAAAATCAATGTTTGCATTGGTTTATATATAGATAAGAGAAAGGGTCTACGAGTAATAATATATACCTTATTCTGAATTTGTATGTGCTGTGAAGCAAGTCACAGTTATTAGACTGAAGCCCATGGAGACACTGCTGGGCTTTTGTGAAAGATAGCTCTGCTGCCTGGGTGCAAATACTATCTTGCCCAGGTCTGTCTCTGCAACGCGTGGCTGGTCATTCACTCTGTAGTGTCCTGGAAAATCTACTGGCCAGAGAATTAAACATTAAAACAAAGCAGCAAAATTGTGATGTGGAACCTTAGAAATCTAATTTGATTTCCAAAACACATAGTGAAAGTTATTCTCTCATTAAGATTCCAACAAACCGCTTTAAATAGACACTATAAGCACCAAAACAAGTTTAGCTCAATGGAGTGGTATTGGTGTATAGGTCATGCCAGTGTAGTCTCACTGCTCAATTCTCTGCTATTTAGGAATTAAATCACTTTGTTTATGCTACCCTGCATGTGAACTACACTGTCGCTCTACATATTCCCTGTAAAGAGAGATCTAAACTTAATTTATTGCACAGTCTGCTTAATTTAGAATTTATCCTGCTCTGTTAATAGCCTGCAGGAACCTCCTGAGTTTTATTAAACTTGAGGACATGAAAAATTTCTAAAGATAACACCTGTGTTGTCAGATGTAATTGAAAATTACCAGATTTTACTATTTACATGATTTAAAGTCACGATTTTATGAACGACATGAAGAAAAGTATTATGTGATTGTCTTTCCTTTATTCCTTCAGCAACAAAGTAAAAAAAACAATGAGAGAAACAAAACATATGAAAGAGTTAACAAAATATGTGGAAATAATGCTCGCCTCCATGCCATTACTAAAATCCTGACATTACATCATGTAACTAGTAAAATTGGTGAATTTTATTATGACATGGAAGTTCCTATTATGCCAGTTTAAAGCTAAGCAACAACTTAATACGAAAAATAACAAAACAAACAAAAATAAAAAACTTGAAATGTTAATTCTGAAAACCAGTCGGCAGCTTTCATGATATCTTCCAAATGACATCCCAATACTAAAGCCTTTGAAGCTGTGGAACCGCTAATAGAATGGAAGTCGAAGATAAATGTATCAAATGTTTGCCAATGACAACAACCGTTTAACCCACTGAGCCAAAGAAGGCTTGGAACCTGGATGATGAGGTTGGCAATAAAAAAAACAAAGAGGGGAGAACCTGACAACATACGAAATGACTCCGTATGCAAGACTTTTGTTCGGAAAAGACAAAAAAAATAAAATAAAAAAAAATAAAGATACATACATAGATATCCTGGAAAATGGAATGCACTCCAGGGTCTTTGATAATGTAAATAAAATATAACTTTTAATTCATATATAAAATAAAAGAATATACATCAACGTTTTGGCTCACATTCATTTACGTTTATGTTAGATGGGAGACAGCAAACACAACTCAACCTGGAACAAAAGAGTGTGTGTAACGATCTAAGGCACGCACATCAGAAACTAAACTGAACATAGTAACTAGTTTGGCTAACAATTGTTTCAAAGAAAGATCTAAATTCTGATTCCAAGAGTCTAGAAAACGTAGGACTACATGGACATCCCAAAACGATGAATATCAATGAGCAAGTGGCCTAGCAAAACTATTTTTTTTTTTAAGAATTTGGCAAACAAAGGGATGACAACCAATATGACCACCATCCAGGACTGATTGACTGGTTGAAATAGCCGACCTATAAAGATTAACCATCCGATAAACTCTACCACTTTCGAAGAGAGAAACTAAATAGGAAAGTAAATCGGTTCTAAGCGGTATGTAATACCCATACATCGGAGGTTATCAATGGCCACATATGAGCAAAGAGAGCTACATTTCCCCTCATTTCTGGATGGGAATAAAGGTGAGTTAAGGTGCTTACTGTAGGGTCTCTTCCAGGAAAAGTCGCAACGATTGCCTAGAGAAACCCATGGCCTCCCATGAGATAGGCAGAATGGTGCTGGTTTTAATTCGGAGTAAGTGGCATGTTTGGAGAATGAGCCTCGGTTCTGAGGAAACCCGTAAAACCATGGACAGACACTTTCCCATTCCCACATAAAAAATTGGGGTGTAAACACCCGCTTCATTGAGCTTTGTGCCATATCAGGTTTTTAATCCATGACAAAGGTTTCTTCAAATAACAAACTATTATCTGCTGCACCAAGTTCGTTTAAGGCCATATAGAGAAATTATTCTCACCTTTGAGGAGAATAAATAACCGAGCAGTGAGAATGCAGGAGCATGATATATACACTACACACTACAACCACTCCATTAAAGTGATACTGTAGGTACAAAAACAACTTTAGCATATAGTCTCATTGCTCAATTCTCGGTCATTTAGGCGTTAAACCACATTTGTTTATGGTTATGCAGCCCTTGCCACACCACCCCTTGTTTTTGACCTAGATCGATATTCTAGGTTCTTTTACTGCACATTCTGTTTAATCTAGAATTTCTTCTCTCCTGCTCTGTTAATTGCCTTGTAGAGCATTCAGGAGACTGAAGTTTACAGAGAAGTAGATAAAAGAAATTTAGCATCTGATTAGTAATTAAACCATTTTTCTAAAACGGGCTGTGTGAGTCATAGCCAAGGGAGGAGTGGCAAGGGACGCATGGGCAGAACAAAATGTGATTCAACGCCTAAATGGTAGAGAATTGAGCAGGGAGACTACAGGGGCATGGTCTGATTCAGTTGTTTCAATGCTTGTAGTGTCCATTTAATGTTTAACAAGTGAATGATTTTTTATAATATGTACTATGTGTGTTGGAAAACAAATTAGATCATAGTGTGCAAAGTGACAAAATCATGATATGGATGCTTAAAAATCTATACAGTAAAACTGTTTTATTAAGCTAAAGGAACACAACAACTTTAGGAATACAAACCTGTATTCTAAGCACTTTAGTGTTACTGTCCCTAGTTATATAGGACCCCCCATGTGTGCGATTAAAACTATTAAAATAAAAGTTTTTACTTACTTTTTTAAAGTGCCAAGCACCGTATGCTGCTTATATCTCCTCCTCCCAAGACCTCATGGAGGAGGCATAGCCTCCTCAAGTGTGGTCCAATCCAATGATCCTCATTGAGGAGCATTAGAAGCCTCATGTGCACATCAGTTTCCACTAGTGCATCCAAGCTTCCCCAGCTGAATGCCTTCTTGGTGTCTAAGGATATCAATGCCACAGAGTAGCATCTATGGGTAGATCTACACATTGCTTAGTGTTATCTGTAGCCGGACAATTAACAATAAATCTGGGCTGGTCCGGGGAAAAAAAGTTTCCTAAAAAGGGGTTCATTCTTTTCGCAAGTACCGTGGCTATTAATTTCATAATCAACAGGAAGATGGGCCTGCTTCAGTATAAGCTTTCCTTGGTTTGGGAATGAGGCAAACATTAGTGGAGCCATATCTGGGTATAAGGAGGCGAGTTTAGTGGTCCTTTAATACCACCCGAATGTAAAAATAGTAAGTTGATGTCCTACGTCTGCAGTTGGCTGTATTTTAGTGTTGAATGATGCAATATCCTCTCAATCACTGTGCTTTCATATATCAATTCAAAGGTGATTACACAGAATCGAACAAAGTGTTGCTGCATGTTAATTGGTAACTATGTAAATAAGGCTTTTATTAATACAGATTTCTGCTGCTTATCTCATGTGCTTGATGATATAAAGCGTATGTGCATTGTTTGTTTGGTTTTGTTTTTTTTAAAAAGACTGTCTTGTGCAACGTGTCGTTCCACGTTAATTAGTTACTATGTAACCAGGTGAATAAGGATTCTATCAATACAAATTGCAGCTGTTTGCGTGATGTATTTGACAAAGGGTAGCACATGGACTACTGTATGCTTTCAAAATATTATTCTCCTTTATGAATCATTTCCAAATTCAGGTCAAATTTAAAATAAACACTTAGTTAGAGCTTGAGCGTGATGGCTCCTAAAAGATAATGCAGTACCTTACTAATTTAGAAACAGTGCTTGCAGTTTCATGGGACCATTTCAACATCCAGGTACAATCTATGAGCTAAATAACTATCATATGCTTAACAACTAAAAAAAAAAAAATAGAAAGAAAGAATGGAGAGAAATAAAGCATGATTTTCCCACAAGACAATGCATTGTGGTACAAATGTTAATGCCAGTCATAGACTATGGGGATGTAATATAGGTATCTGCACTCCAAAGATATCTCATCGATTTCAACAGAGTAAAATTTGTTCTGTCACCAACACACAGAGTGTAACCTCTAAAATAAATTAGAACAGAAACCCCGGACCCATTGTGAAAACTTTAGGCCCATATCTTTACTTAACTCAGATGCTAAACTATTTGAAAAAATATAGGCAACAGGGTGAAAGAGGCCCTTCAGACGCTTACACCCTGACCAGCCCGGCTTTTGTAAAAGGTAGGCAAGGGACGGATACAACTAGGAGAGTACTGGATATTAAAAAAGGTCTTGTGCTTTCTCTGGATGCAGAAAAAGTGTTCAACCGGCTGAGCTCGAACTTCTTGGAAGCAGTGTTGAGGAAATACCAATTCCCTGACCAGTTTCTATCAGCGGTCAAGGCGCTCTAGAACATGCCTGCGGCTAGTGATGCATGGAGGCTTTATGTCTCAACCCTTTGCTATAAAGAACGATACATGTCAGGGACGTCTACTCCCCCCCCCCTTCTATATATGTTTTAGCACTTGAACCTCTAGCGTACCAAATCAGAGCCAATGACACCATATCAGGTGTCCAGATAGGTACGACAGAACATAAACTCAGCCTCTTCGCAGACAACGTCCTATTAACCATTACTCGTCCTGAAACATCTCTTCCAGCACTTACTGATACAGTAAATTTTCATATTACAAACTAAACACGATGAAAACACAAGCCATGCCAATAAATCTAGAACATACAATGGTGCAAAACCTTAAGCAACACCACAACTTTGACTGGAGGGAGGACCATATAGTATACTTGCGGATAAAATTGACCAAAAACTTCAACAACCTATTAAGAAAACTGCACGCACATGGACAGATGGAAAGACAAATTCATAGCAGCATTTAAAATAAAGTTACTCCTAAAATTCCTATTTATGTTTCGTTCTTTGCCTATAGATAATCCAAAATCATACCTTTCCCAACTACAAAACCATGTTGACCGCTTTATTAATGGTCGTCATAAAGCCTGCATCCCCAAAAACACAGCCACTAGAAAACAATTGGATGGAGGCATGGGTACTGCGTGTCTATTTTCAGCCACTCTACTCAACCAAGCGATAGGGGCCCAAGACATCAATAGTAAACCCCCTTGGGTGGACATTGGTCTCTAGGGGAAGGACGCCACTATTTTTTATGGATACCTAAAACCTTGCACCCGAAAATGAAAAATAGGCTACCCACGACCTCTGTGATGTTAAAAACTTGGGATGACAATAAAGTAAAATTTCCCAATTGTAGTCCTCTTTCCCCAGCTACTCAGAAATTTCAAATATCTTATCCCTACATTCGATAGCAAGGGTTGGGAAGGCCAAAGCCTAGAGTTCATTCATAAAATATAGAGCAGAGATAATTTGCTGCCTTTTCCACAATCTAGTTCAACCCATGATTTGCCCCATCTATGTACCAGTCATACCTTCATCTTTTAAAGAAGTCCAAATGGACCCCATCACCTTGACTTTATTGCAAGGTTTAAAGATAATAAAGAAGTGACCCCTATTTGCTATGATACTTTAATGTTGGGTATGATACAGCCACTGTCCAGATACACCAGGGTGTTGGAGAGACTCCCTACACACATTGCACACCACACATAGAATTGAGAAGAAAATGATATTTGGTGCTGGCATTTAGTCCATGTTTGCATCGACCTCTGACATCTGCTGGCTGTGTGGATCCGAGAGGGGAACCATGATACATACCTGGTGGGAGTGCTCTGTAATCAGCAGTTCTGGGAGATGATAGCCATACGTTTGACAGATGTGGTGGACCAACCTATAAAGGTAAAAAATGAGAAACCAGCGCACTCCCTATCTACTAAACAGCTACTTTGGTGCTGACGGATTTCATAAGTTTTATTAAAAACACCTAATCTAGGCAAACAACAATGGGGATTTTGTTACATTATATGATCACACATTGCATAAGCCTGCCACAACGTCAATATACCCCATATTCGGCAGGTCCTACTTTAACTGCCTAATGTCTGCTAAATGAGCTACTCACTTGGGAAAATCCTCTCGAGTTCTCTGCAGTACAAGGCCAAATATGTATGAAGAAACAAGGGGTTCATTGCACTAAACCTAACATGCTTAAATTGGGTGCTGCTAGGGAGGGGGAAAATACATACAGTAAACATTTTAAAGCTCTTTATTAGAATCTTGATAAATGAATACCTTGTATAAATTATTTACTATGTGTATTGGAAACCAGATTAGATTTTTAAGGTTTTTACGATCACGATTGTCACTTTGTTTGCATGATCTATACACTAAAACTTATTAATTAAGCTAATGTTATTTTTGTACTTAGAGTATTACTGTAAAGAGACACTAAAATGGTAGGAATACAAACCTGTATTACAAATTTGTTTTAGTGTCTCTGTCCCTAGATACATAGGTCCCTCCAGTGTGTGTGATTAAAAATAATAAAATAAAGGTTTTTCTTACCTTTTTTAAAGCACCAAGGCTCCCTTGACACTGCTTACCTCTCCCCCTCCCGCGATGTCATGGAGGAGGCATCACCTCCTTTTGTATGGTTCATTCCAATGATCATCATAGAGAATAATTGGGGGCCTGATGTGCAGCATGTGCCATGCGTGCATCAATGTTTCTCCAAGTAAAGAGTTAATCAACATTTTCCTACAGGGGCTTCCGCAGAGTTTTACTCAGTGAGTGCTGCAAAAGAACCTCAAGTGGCTGTCAGGAAGACAGCAACTAGGAGGTGGATTTAAAGGAACACTATAGTCACCTGTATAGATCATTCCCCTGCAATTTCACTGCTCAATTCACTGTCATTTAGGAGTTAAATCACTTTGTTTTTGTTTATGCAGCCCTAGCCACACCTCCCCTGGCTATGATTGACAGAGCCTGCAAGAAAAATAAAACTGGTTCCACTTTCAAACAGATGTAATTTACCTTAAATAATTGTATCTCAATCTCTAAATTGAACTGTAATCACATACAGGAGGCTCTTGCAGGGTCTAGCAAGCTATTAACATAGCAGGGGATAAGAAAATCTTAATTAAACAGAACTTGCAATAAAGAAAGCCTAAATAGGGCTCTCTTTACAGGAAGTGTTTATGGAAGGCTGTGCAAGTCACATGCAGAGAGGTGTGACTAGGGTTCATAAACAAAGGGATTTAACTCCTAAATGGCAGAGGAATGAGCAGTGAGGCTGCAGGGGCATGATCTATACACCAAAACTGCTTCATTAAGCTAAAGTTGTTCAGGTGACTATAGTGTCCCTTTAACCCTGTAATGCAAGCCTGTAGTTTCCAAAAAACTTCAATGTTTTACATTGCAAGGTTAAATGGACAGGACGACTGCATGCAAGCAATGTTATTAAGATAAAGTGGCCGGGGTGACTTTAGTGGTCCTTCAATACCACCTTGATGTAAAACTGGTCATTTGAGGTCCTACTTCTGCAGCTCGCTGTATTTTAGTTTTGAATGTTGCAATATCTTCTCAATCGCTGTGCTTTCATATTTCAATCCAAACATTAAAACAAACTAGGCTTTTATTATTACAGATTTCTGCTGGTTATCTCATGTATTTGATGACATAAAGCGTATATGCAGAGTCTTGTTCAGTATAGATTGTGTTGTGGGTCAGTATGAGCTCTCTCTAGTTTGGGAATGAGGCAAACATATCTGAGGATAGTGATATAAATTTAGCGATCCTTTAATACCACCCTGATGTAAAACTGGTCATTTCAGGTCCTACTTCTGCAGTTGGCTATATATATCCACTCAATCACTCTGCTTTGATATTTCAGTTCGAAGGTGAAAACACAGTATTGCTCAGATTGTGCAAAGTATTGCTGCATGTTTGGTGACTATGTAAATTAGTCTTTTTTAAATATAGATTTCTGTTGGCTCTCTCATGTATTTGATGACATAAAGCGTATGTGTATTGTTTTGTTTTGTGAAGATTGTCTTGTGCAACGCGTCGTTGAACGTTAATTAGTAACTGTAACTAGGTGAACAAGGATTCTATCAATACAGATTTCTGCTGTTTGTGTGATGTATCTGACAATAGTCTTCACATTTACTATTCTTTACTTTGAAAATAATATTTAACTTTATTATTAATTTCCAAATTCAGGTTAAGGTTAAATATAAAATAAACATTTATTTACGGCTTGAGGGTGATGACTCCTAGGTCTTAAAGCATTACCTTCAAAATTAGAGTACAATCCTTGAGCTAAATAACTATCATATGCTTAACAATTGTAAAAGAAAGAAAGAATGGAAATAAATAAAGCCTAATTTTCTCATAAGACAAAAGCATTGTGGAACAAAATCTTATTTACAGTCATAGACTATAGGGATGTAGTATACATATCTGCACATCAAAGATATCTCATTGATATCAACACAGTAGAATATGTATGCTACTCCCACCTATCTATCATCCCTTATACACAAGTATGCCCTGTCTAGGCCCTTACGCCCTGCTGAAGACTTACGTCTATCTTCTGTCCGTACTCCCACCTCTGATGCTCGCCTTCAAGACTTCTCGAGGGCTGCACCATTCCTGAGGAACTCACTTCCCTCCTCACTTCCAAATATAATTTGTTATGTCACTTTGTTCTCCAATGTAACTACAGTATCCATTATTGTAATATGTTAAAACAATTACTTCTCTCAAAAGCTGTCCACCTGGGGGCGTTGTCCGAACCGTCGATGAGACTGGACGTGTCTCGGTAGAGCTCTGCCACAACTGCGCCAAAAAGATAACAAAAGCGACCTCAAACCTGATAAACTATCCCCAACATGGAAAAGAGACCCCCTAAGAAGCAGGAAAAAAAAAAAAAAATCACCTAAACTGGGGGCTCCGTCCTCGACCATTTCACCACACACAAGCACGGCCGTGCAGGAAGCCAAGATGGCGACGGGAGCTCCCCGCAAACATCGCCTAGGGCAGGCAAGGTGGCCCCATGCAATGACCAGGATACTGTGCTGGCCAAGCTGGCTGAAGTCAGGGTCTTCCAACAGGAGAAATAGCCAAATCAACTGCTGTTCTCCAAGTGGAGAAAGGAGCCCTGGGAAAACGCACAGCCATTTTGGAAGAGCGCATGGAAGTCACCGCGCTAGCCCACAACGCAGTCATAGAGCGGGTGAACCGAATGACATCGCACCTGGTGGAAACCGACCTGACCTTGGAAGATATGGACAACCGGTCACGGAGGAATAATCTCCGCATTCGAGGCCTCCCTGAGGAGAAGGAGGAAGATTTGAGGGGGATCCTGCTTTCCACCCTAAAGCCTCTCCTTCCTAACCTCACGGAAGAGCATTGGCACATAGAAAAGGTGCATAGAGCCCTGAGACCTCAAAAGGCCGACACTAATACCCCGCGGGACGTAATCGTCCGCTTTCTTTACTACTGCACTAAGGAGGCGTGACTGAACCTTTTGTTTTTTCGTTGTGCTTTTCCCTGGGTTATACAAGTCATCCTTTTGGGCGGGAATTGAGGGCTCTCCCCTCCCTGGGTGACATGGCGACATCCACCTTCTGACCCGTGTACTCAGAGAGCAAATGTGGAAGCCCGCTCTACCTTATCCCCTCTTACATTTAAGTTCAAGTTTCAAGTTCCAGCTACGTTTTAGTCTTATTTATTTTTTTGTACTGGCAGCCTGCTTTAACATGGAAAAAGGGGCTCTCGTGGGGGAGGGAGTTGACCCCTACGTGGACTGCGTTGGGAGGGGTATGGGATATACCGCACTTGTCTTCAAGGAACTCTTTAAAGGATCTAATCCGGAGAACTGTCCCTGACTGAGACGCAGGTTGTGGGGGCCTCGGGACTCCTACCACGGTATGGCACACGGAGAGGTGGGGATACATTACCACTCAACCCATAGCCACCTATTTTTAACCCATAGCCACCTATTTTTTGGAGTATAGGCCCAGACCAACCCGAGGACGGAGGACCGGCCCTCCTCGCAACGGACACCCCACCTTAAAGACACATAAGGGACAAATTGTATTATGGCCTTCAACAAAAAGGGGCAAGGGGAAGATACCGGGAATGATCTTTTGCATTTAGGCCTTATCAGAGACCCGAGATCTTTCCCTCCCCCGAATTACTTAAGCATTATTGCATAATTACACATGTTCTGACAGTTATAAACATAGATGCTCCTTTAACTTCCATACAATCAAGAACAGGGGGAGAAAAGACAACGAAAAGGAAGGAAGAAAGAAGGAAAAAAAAAAAAAAAAACAAAGAAAAAAAATATATATATATAAATAAAAAAATAATTTCAATGAAAAAAAAGGGAAAAAAAAAAAAGGAGGGGAGGGGAGGAAGGGGCGGTTGATGTTCTACACATATGTTATATATTGTTTGTATAGGTAAGATGGATGGATAAGGCAGTCACTCTGAGATAATGTATTCTGGACCAATTATAACTGCCCCATGCTTTTGTTGAGGAACACTATGGTACTGAATGAAACTCTAGCACTGTATTGATGTATACAATGTCGTTGAAGATAGCATATGGAGGGGTGGTTGGGGGGGGCGGAAGCGAGAGATAGGGCACGGGGCCACTCCTTTCCCACCGATATACATGAGTCGGGGGGTCACTACTAAACTTAATGTACATACGGACGCATAGGCACCTTACGGTCCTGTCATCCCTCCCCTCTGCGTTGCTCTCCCCTGAAACCCTTCTCCCGCGACGCCCTGGTACCTATATAAGGAGGTAGGCTCCCGACTTCTATAAACGCCATCGCTATATGCAGACGGAGGAAAATAGAAAAAAAAAAATTATAATCTTTCAGTAATAACGTGAAACTTGATTTCTTTCCTTTATCCTTTGTGTTTATCTATTGATTACTATTTTGCCATAACAAAAAAGGAGAAATAAGAGGGAGGAAATTGTACATATTCCTTACATACAAGACATGTAAACTAGCTCAGTTAACCCCCTGGAAAGACGTACGTTAGCCCACTTGCAAATGCTCCCTACATGGGAGACATATCTGACATGACTCAGAATAATTCGACCGTACCCTTTCACGTATAGCTTCACTGACAATGTCATGTCAGGCTACGACGAACACAAACATTACACAACAGAAGCACAGAGTCGATATATGGAGAGGGGTACCTGCCTAATATATACACCTTTAGAGGCGGGGGGGGGGGGAACGGGGTATTGGAAATGTACACACCCTGGGAAGGGACACCACACACTTGCAATACAACCCCATGGGTCAAAAGCTTGAGAGATATATATGGGACTGGCAGGTCTCGCGCCGGGAAAGACAGGAGCATGGGGCGGATTGGCGGGGGTCGAGGGAGGAAGGGACATCGAATGCTGAACTCCCGGACACCCTCAAACTGATAACCGGGTAAGACTGAAAGGGGGCACCTGATGGAGGAAGTGCTTATATTTATACAGATTAGACAAATCAGAGGTCAACTCACATTGAATAGGCGCATACGTGACGGAGTCCAGGGATCCTAAGTTCCTCCTTGCCTTGACTGTGGAAGGGATGAAGGAACGTGCTCCCCACAAGACCCTGGCAAAGGGTAAGACCAGTGTTTCTCCTTTTACTCATCTGACTGGAATCGGATGTCATTTTTCTTCTTCACTATCTCCTCCTTTCTTTCTTTCCTCTATGTGGTGCGGCTTTGGGGAGCGGTGGAGGTGGGGGGATCCCTGGGGGGACATCGGACCTAGTACTGAGCCGAGCGCTGACAGACCCCGGGTCCTGGACCTTCACAACAGAAATAAACAAACACGTTGCAATGATTAAAATCACACTGAATGTAAAGGGTCTCAATGCCCCTAAGAAGCGCCGCCTTATGTTTAAAGAATTAAAGAGACTAAAGACGGATATTGCATATATCCAGGAAACCCACCTATCAAAACAAACATGTTAACCTAAAAGCCCATACCTTCAATGGATCACATGAAGCAAGATCACAATGTAAACTCAACGGAGTGGCTTTACTAATCAGAAACAGCTGCCCATTTCGGAAGACGGCCCAGGAAACAGACCCAGAAGGCCGATAGATTATCGTCTCGGGCATTTTATACTCACATACCATTCACCTGATTAACGTGTATGCTCCGAACCAACAGGACCCCTCGTTCTGGAACACGCTCTGGGAGAAAATCTCATCACTCCCACATGGCATGACCTATGTGGGAGGGGACTTCAACGCTACCCCGTGCCCGGCAGTGGACAGGAGCACTAGAGGCGGAACACCGAGGTCCCAGGGACGAGGTGGACAAGATCGATTGTTTAAAAAATTCATAATAGACACAGGCCTAATGGATGTATGGCGAGCGCACCACCTGGGAGACAAAGACTACTCATTTTATTCGGCACCTCATGGTACATACTCCAGGATAGATCTCTTCTTGACTAACGCGACGGGCATGCCCAGGATTGTAGAATCCAAGATTGGTAATATATCATGGTCGGACCATGCTGATGTGTCCATTACGTTTGGCAATCTGTGCATGGCGTCGCCATGGACGTGGAGACTGAACACATCTTTATTACAGGACCCGGAGTTAAGAGAACAGATACGGACTGAAATATTGGAATATTTTGTCACAAACAACACCCCAGACGTCAGTGCGGGTTCAACATGGGTGGCCCACAAAGCGGTAATAAGGGGGACCCTTATAAAATTAGCCACTAGAAAGAAGAGATTGAAACATTTACAACTGGACACCCTGATGGGTCAATTAGGGACCCTTGAACAGAAACATCAAACGACACCTGACAATGAGACCTATAAGAAATTGGAAGCGGTATGAAGGAACATTCGAACGCTACTGCTAGATGATACCACTCGACCATGGTTTGGTCGAAATAAACTTTTTACGAGAAATCCAATAAAATGGATTCACTCCTAGCCCGAACATTGCGACCTAGACAAGAACGATCCCACATCACGGCCATCAAACATCCAGATGGAGCGACAAACTCAAAGGTTTTTGAGGACTTCTACAAAAGACTATACAACCACACACCGGATACAAACACTCTTGATGGACACGAAGAAGAACATATCCTCAGATACCTGAATAACCTCGGGATGACCAAACTTGGGAGAGAGGCAGTAAGTAGCCTGACTGCTGAAATTACTGTAGAGGAAGTATATAGAGCCATATCAAACTTGAAAGATAACAAGGCTCCAGGACCTGATGGATTTGATGGTACGTATTATAAGACCTTCAAGGAAGAACTTACACCTCAACTGATGAGACTCTTTGATTACATGAAACAGGGGGGATTTCTAAACCCAGACATGACCCTAGCTACCATCGTATTGATACCCAAATCCGACAAAGACACGTTCCAACCAGAAAACTACAGACCCATATCGCTGATTAACCAGGATCTGAAAATATTGGCAAAAATCCAAGCTGATAGACTGAACCCACTACTAAACTCACTCATACACGCAGATCAAGTAGGCTTCATTCAGGGCAGACAATTGTTCGAGAATACCAGGAGGAACATAGATCTAATTTGGAAACAAGTGGCCTCCGAGGTCCGCACTTTAGTGGTCTCCATAGATGCGAAAAAGGCCTTTGATAGGGTGAGGTGGCAATTCCTCTTTACGGTGCTGAACCACCTGGGATTCCCGGAAGAATTTATAACTACCACGAAAGCGATGTACCATGAAGTAAGAGCACAAGTACAGATCACAGGTGCCCCAATGAAACCATTCCGACTCTACAATGGAACCAGGCAGGGGTGCCCACTCTCCCCCCTCCTGTTTGTGCTAGCACTGTAACCCTTGATGCAAGTGATAAGACAACATTGAGGTATTGGAGGAGTACGGGTAGGAGACAGAAAGTTTACAGTCTCAGCATACGCGGATGACGTTCTTTTGACCATTACGAACCCCTTGGAATCTATGTCGGTTCTACAGGAAGTTATCAAAGACTACGAAGAACTGTCTGGGTATAAGGCAAACATGCAAAAATCCAGTGCTATGCCAATTGGCCTGAAAGAAGACGAAATAAGTCGGATACAGCAGACCTACCGAATCAGGATGGAAAGAGAATCCTTAAAATACCTGGGTATACACTTAACAGCAGACTCGGCACGCCTCCACTCCGCAAACTATGGTCCCTTAACCAGGACGTTGATGGAAGACTTAGAAAGGTGGATAGATAAGCCCATCTCCTGGATTAACTCTGTTAAAATGAACATCCTCCCACAGATTTTATTCTTATTCCAAGCTTTGCCTATCCGCGTTACTAAAACACAACTGAATCCGCTACAACGGTCAATAGAAGACTTCATTTGGCAGAACAAGAGGCACAGGATATCTAGACAGGTTCTCTATAGACGTAAAGAGAGAGGGGGATTGGGCCTACCAAACCTATATTTCTATTACCTTGCAGCCCAGTTGAAACAGGTGGCTATGTGGCATTCCCCACCGGAAGAGAGGAGATAGGTCGAGATGGAGTCCATGATGGTGGGCTGGGACGTCCCCCAGTTCACTATGTGGATCCCAAAAGATTATAGATCCATCATACAGGTGACTTGCCCGTCCATACTCAACTCGCTCCAAATATGGGACACAAACAAAATCAAGTATGGACTGGCGGCCTCCCCCTCCCCCCTGACTCTAATTCTCAGAAATAGGGAGTTCCAACCTGGAATGGCTCCTAGAGACTTTCGAAATTTAGAAAGAACAGGACTACAACGGATCCACCAGCTATACCACAATGGGAACCTCATTCAATTTGCGGACCTTCAACAAGATAACCATCTAACCCCAACAGACTTCTTTAGATATATACAGATCCGGGACTTCGCAAGGAAACCACACATAAAGGCAGCAGCTCAGGGAGGAATGACTTTCTATGAAAAACTATGCCTAGACGGGATGACCCCCAAGGGCATGATAACCTTGATGTACGCTCACCTTAGCACAGAAACCAAAGAATGGGGGCGGCAATCTTATACCGACCAATGGGAGACAGAACTAGGAGAAGAGCTAGATGGAATTGAATGGCAAGAAATATGGGAAGCAAATAAAATGCTTCTATATGTGTCACGCTACAAGAACAGACGTGGAAAACCATGTTAAGATGGTATACCACCCCCATAAAATTATATAAAATGCACAAAATGGATACGGATGATTGCTGGAGGGGCTGTGGAGCCCGAGGAACGTACCTTCACATGTGGTGGGAATGCCCAAAAATTTTTAGATTTTGGAAAGCAACGGAAGACCTACTGAAACAAATATTTAACAGGCCCCTAGCTAGAGATCCATGGGTATACCTACTAAACAGGTCTATAGACGGATGGACCAGGAGAGAGCAGAAACTAATCCATAAAATAACTCTAAGCGCGCGACGAACAATAGCAACTGGGTGGCTATCAGCAGACGGACCAGAGTTTCCGGGAATGATAGCCAGGATCCGCGAATGTAGGATTATGGACGACCTGACAGCAAGAGTGAAGGGATCGACAGAAACATTTCTAAGACTTTGGGAGCCATGGGATAATAGTGTAGTGGGATCCAGGGAAGACAGATAAGACTGAAAAGGTGAAGTAAAGGTGACCTAGTAACGGGGGTCTCCTCTGACCGGGGGATTAAATCATCACACATGGCATAAGGGGTCCTGGAAGTGCCTTCTGTTCCCCCGGCTCTCGCCCCCTAGCCTTTTCTCTCGCGGCTTCCCGGATGCTGCACCCACTTTCTTACTTCCTACTATCTACTCAGTCTCTCTTTCTCTACTCTCCTTTCTCTCACTTCCCGACTCTTAACGGAAAGAGTTTCCTTTCCTAATTTAATATATATTTAGTATATAAACCTCTTCAGGCATGGTCCACGTAACGAAGGAAATGGGAGACCTAGAAATATAATACAGATCTTGGACTAAGACTCCTATAGATATACCTAAAGGCCTGAAAATATAAAACTTTCGACGGGAAACGGACGTTAAAGATTTCAAGAAAAATGCCACAAGATTCAAATGAAACATATTGTACAATTAAATGTTATACCAAAGTTTGCTCCTGCGCAAGCGACATTACTAATGCACACTTGAGTATTCCTGTAGAACCGAAACATTAGGGAATTATATTACATATATAAAAACCCTTAACGGACGGCAGGCCCTAATGGTTTCATCAAGCATGGGCATATATTGTAATGTTTGAACTGCATGACTATATCAAGAATTATATTCAAACTGGCTTCTGCGTAAGCCCAAACGTTGATGCTTACTTGCTATGTCTGTTGAGCAAAAATAAAGAATTAAAAAAAAAAAAAAAAAAGCTGTCCACCTTTTCACTTCTTGATCCTCACTTTCCTCAAAAAGGATGTTGGTCCAGCAGCTTTTTCCCCATAGAGTTTTAAAGGAACACTATAGGGTCACACACACACACACACGTATTCCTGACTCTAGAGTGTTAAAAACACTCCCTCTCTGAAAAAAACATTGTTTACTGCAAAAAGCCTGCAGGGACTGACTATACTCACCAGAACAAATACAATAAGCTGTAGTTATTCTGAACAGTATAGTGTCCCTTTAACATATGTGGAATTACCTGCTAAATAATAGCAAATCTGCCACCAGTCTGAGGTCCTTGAAAAAAAAAAATCTGTATCTTCTACAAAAATAGCTGAGATGGAGAATGTTACTACTTTTGATAATTTGGCCTAATATTTGTAATTCCAATATAATTTATGGTTTAAAGGGAAAGTAGGCAGTGGTGTACACACACACACACACACACACACACAATGGGGCCCCGGTGCAAAACTGATCCGTGCCCCCCCCCCCGACACACACACACACACACAAACAGACCGACACACACACATATACATACAGATCCAGACAGGCACACACACACACATACAAACAGACAGGCACACACATACAAACAGACAGGCACACACACACAGGCAGACAGACAAGGTGCACATACATACACACAGACAGACACACACATATACATACATTCAGACAGGCACACAGATAGACACATACACATAATATTTAAGTCACCCTCCTGTTTCCTACCTTTTAGGTGCAGGAGGGTGACTTTCACTGGGGTCCAGTGGTGGTTTAGGTGGATATGAGTCAGAGTTCCACTCTGACTCCCTCTGCTTCCTCCCGCACGGGCTCAGTGATAGCTGGGAGGAGTGACGTGCAGTACAATCCATATCCATCGGTTGGCCCTGACAGCATGGGCCAATGCACCTCTTTGACAGCGGCCCGGCGGTTTCCCGCATGGGCCGGGGCCGCAAAGGGTGATGGCGGGTACCTGGTCACAGGGGTCCGCAGGGCGGCTGGGCCCCCTGAAGTGACTGTAGGCACTATAGCCATTTCATCTAATTTAATTGGTTATAGTGCCTGGCATCCTCTGGCACTGTCATTCCATTCAGTTTTAAACCATTTTTGAGCAGTTTAACACTAAATAAGGGTACTGTGCTAGCCAGTGAAAATCCAAACAGTCAAAAGATATATGACAAAGTATGGACTACTTTATCTTATGTATTTTTCCTACACTTCGCAAAATATGGAGGTACTTTTTGTCAAGCCCTAAGCCGAAATAGACGTTTTCTATTGTGAATCTCCATATCCTCCACAGACGCACAGAGCCGATATGGCACCTGGCAGATGATGCGCCAGAATCTGAAGAGGACCTTGTGAAAATAGATCGCAGCACACGCGAGGGAGAAGTTTAGGTAAGTAAAACAATACTTTCTCCTTCGCCCTCTGGCCACTGCAAGTAGAACAATACAAGCAGAGCAATCACCATCTGGAGTCTTTGCAAAATATTACCTCAGAAGGTGACCAATCCACTTTAAAGAATAAAGTAGTTTCCTATGGGAAAGCAATGAATTGGTTTTAGATCATAATGTTTGATGTTCTCAGCCATGTAGGCAGAGTGAGGCATGGCCAGCTGCAGCACGACCGACACGGCGTGGGAGAAAAGGGGAGATAAGCTTAAACACCTAATTTCTCCACAGAGGGTAGACAGGACACCTAAATAGCTATTTTTAAAACTATAATATCAGGAATACATGTGTGTGTTCCTGCCACTATAGTGTTCCTTTAAACTTACAGAAAGACACCAGGTTTAAAAAAAATAAAAAAAAGACACTGTCGCACACATTAAACAGTGTAGACTATTCTGGGCTTTAAGAAAGATTAAAGGCATAAAATCAATCAGTAAATCAGCACATATCCTACAGAACTTGCATTCCTGATAATGGTGAACACACATGACATGATGGGAAACTGAAAGAAAAACAGTATCAATGGGAAAATTTTACATTTGTCTGTTGAATTTAGAAATACATAAAGAAAAATATACTTTCAGTGTCTTTCTTCTAAAATTGACACTGCTTAGAGGTTTCCATTGTGGCTACATATCAAAATACACTGTTAGTGTATGTACATACCGACATTGTAGTGAGATGACAAAACTGGGTTTGGAATTCCATGAAAAACTTCTTCTAATTCCACAACTGCAATGTCATAAGGAGATGATTCGCTGCTAGCAAACAACACTTTTCCTTTAATTGCCCGATACCTGAAAGAAAGATCTAAATGAATCCATTTGAGTTTAAAGTCATTAACTACAATCAGGTTAACTACAAAACAAATCAGGGACTGGAATATGAATAAATATCCATCAGTAACAAGAACAATAAAATTATAGGGGTGAAATGTCTAGGTGAGCTTACAGTAATTAATGTTGGGTGTTTTGTCATTGGTCTTGTTTTGTTGTGATTTTTTATTTGTATTTCTTATACCACTGCTCTGTAAGCCAACATTTTACCTCCTTGAACCTGCAGTGTTAATATCTGTGTTCCAAAAATACTCCTGTATATGATGCCATTGCCTAGCTTTCGTGAATGGTTTGGTAAAAACTTACCAGAAGCTGCGAAAATTAATAATTGCAGAGAATGCAGAAACACCAAGAGTTATTTCAAATTATTGTTATTTGCCTACTAGTTGCTTACGTACTAGAAACAGTCATTTCTAATGTATTTTTCCAAATGGAAAGCCAGCAATAGGTTAACAGTGTTAGCTGACCTCCAGGTCCAAGGGCCATCTGGAGCATTTTGGGATTAAACCGTTTGTAAATATTTTAACCCCATAAGGTAAGACAACCCCCCAGGAGTTTGACGCACCTTAACGAGTGAGATGAACACTATGGACGTCATCACTTCCTTTAAAATAACCGATTACTAACTTGTAATTCAGCGATGAGACAGTATCCACATTGCATCCAGTAGAATGCTTATCATAGATAAACACTAGGAGGGAGGGTGCTCACCTAAAAATATTATGAAAGAAGTACTGGCAATGCTTATCCACGAGAAGCATTCATTTCCACTTTATGCTGGCACACAAAGCAATTTAAAAAGAGCACCTACTGGCTGTTTAATAGACAGCAGGGAGGGTGCACCTTACATTTTTATAAGGTGTGAAAGAGTAGATTGTCTGTTAAGCATTAGCACTTCAGTTGTATAGAGTGTTGCTTGAAAGATTTGGGAAGGGTAATGGCTTATTTTTTATATTTTTAAAAGATTGGGGTAAATATAGGATGAGGTGTTTTATTGCATATTGATGAAACATATTATGGAAGGTATTGAACTGCTAACATTTAGCCTTAATTGCTCTTGGTGAAACAGGTTCTTGGAGTTGGAAGCACGGCACACCCAATCCATAACTGTATACCAAAAAGAGAAAGGGGGCAATTCATCCTGGTAAAGTGGAAGTACTGGGGACCACCACTCTGCTTTGTTCCATATTCCTCAACAATATACCAGAAGCCAATTCCTGAGCTATTTGGCCTGCTTGATAGTTTGGGTTTTTAACTTGGCCCAATTCAAGGATATTTTTGATATGATGAGGTCATCATCGTACTTCAGGATCATATCTGAGGCCAGAAATACACTGATCTAATGAAAGATTTTTTGTAAAAGTAAGCAGTTTTAAACTTTACCAGAAAACAAACATTATATGTGTAACATACTTCTCTGATGTAGGAGGTCTAATCTTCACAGACACTTTGGATGCACCCCTTAGCACATGGCGGCAGGTTAACACAATGTTTGAGTTCAACAACACCCCAGATCCCCAAACTTGGCCAGAGTCTACTAAAACAACGGAGGATAATAGTTGTTCTATTGGTTGTAGTAGTCTCTCAAGTTCAGTTACACAACTTTCCGTTGGCATTAATTGAGTTAGTTGTTTTTTTACATTCATACCAGACATTGCAAAAGCTTTCATAAGGTTTTCTAGAATATGGCTAATGGCACAAGCCAATGTAAGTCCAACCCATTCATTTGTCTTCCAGCAAAGTGGTGCCACTACAATTCCCACCAAGTGTAATACACCGTCATCAACAGAAAATATCCCACCACCTTCTGAACCTGGCAAACAGCGGGCATCGGTTAGAAGAACAACATTCCGGTCTCCTGCTATGTTACTGAGTACCCCTTTACTAATGGTATTTAGAAAAATGTCGGGGTAAAAAGAGCCAAAAGGGGAACCACAAGCAAACACTGAACTTCCTTTTTGCAATTTTTTAGCATCCATGATACTTATTTTAGGACAAGATATGGTCAGAGGATTTTGCAGTTTCAGAACTGCAAACCAATGCAGGTAAGCAAGATCCTTTTTCATTTCGCCATACTCTTCTTTCTCCTCTTCGCTTGAAAATGCCCACCCCTCCGATTTGTTAAACAACCTGGAAAATGCCTTTTGGAATTCTGGACAGGGAACAAGCATGAGGAGCTGGCCCTGATGCTGTTTTCGCTCAGCCCTCAAACTAGCTTGATTTGCCATTGGAATTAGACCAAGTCCCAGTTTGTGTTCTAGAACTTTGTCTTTGAGGTGATTTTCCATTCTGGATTCTGCAGGGCATTCTATTTGTATTGTAAGATCTGCTGGGAACTCGTTGCCTAAAATATGAGTTCGCTCAGTCCAAACAAAATCTGCTTCCTTTTTTTTCAAAAAAGGGAAAAATACAGATGCGTGGCAAAGCACCAAGCCCAAACGCCTGTTGAGGATTACTCCGCTGCAGCTCCACTGCCCATCACATTCAGTTTTGGCATTGTGGTAGAGAGCTGAATTTGTTTTCTCAAAATTGTAGGAATCTGTGTCGTTAAGAAAAGTCCCATTTTCTTTTTCTAAATCTGTGGGCTTCTGGAAAGCAGTTATTACACAACAATTAAACTCAGCTGGCAGCAACTGTGATTTAATCATATTTCTTTTTAAATTCCAAATACAACTGTTCAAGCACTAATGCATCAATACAAAGGGTAATTTCCTTCAAATACTAGCTAAATTCAGATTAGAAGATATTACACATAGGTTTAGCCAGCTAGTGCAGGCTCTTTATGTTAATGCCACCAATTGCTCAGATTAATGAAGCATGGGGTGTAGTTAATACATATCTGTGCAGTGTGTCCCCTTGTTTCTCTGGCAGGTATCACTTGCACTCCTTTGAAACCAGTGGTGATCAAGCAATAACAGAGTATTGGTACACATGCCTTAGTGTCAATACAAAGTTCACTGCTGGGAGCATGTTAGCCTGACCAGGAAGCGTTCACAGGCAAAGGAGCGATCTGATTGGTTGACAGGCTCACCTCTTAGCTGCAGGCTTGTGTCGGGCTCTACCAGTGGCTGTTTTCAGTGACACGTTGATATCTGCAGAACAAGAGAGCCGCCTTGTGATTGGCTGGTTTTCACCCCCTGATGTTCGGTAAGGTATACGCCCTCGGGAATGATGTAGAACGCACTAATTAAATGGAATGTTTGGGCAGCAGGGTAAAGGTTCGCAGGAGATTCTGGGATGTGAACCTGAGAAATGGTTCAATAGGGCACCTAGGCTGCTCTGTGTGTTTGGAGGGCAAGCTGGCTTGTAGTGTGTGTTTAGAAAGGATATGCCGGGAGAGGAGGATTAGGCAAAGTTGCTTGATTCACCTCAGCACTTTCTGGTTCTGATGGGGAGCACATGAAAAGTGTTATATTGCTCTATAAGTGCTGCCCTGCAAAATATTGAGATAAAAAGGGCAAAAATGTGCCTGATGCCTTAGTTGAAGAAGTAACTTAATATCTATGGAAGTGTGATTGGTACATTTCATAAGTGTGCACCTGGGCATTTTGTTTTGATAAACTGAGAATATTTATTGAAAACTCAACTATTGTAGAGTAAAGGTCATTTGTATTCAGTCAATTTAAAGAGAAAGTTTAAAGGGCCACTATATGCACCCAGACCACTTCAGCTTAAAGGACCACTCTAGGCACCCAGACCACTTCAGCTTAATGAAGTGGTCTGGGTACCAGGTCCTTCTAGGGTTAACCCATTGTTTTATAAACATAGCAGTTTCAGAGAAACTGCTATGTTTATCAATGGGTTAAGCCTTCCCCCAAAGCCTCTAGCGGCTGTCTCATTGACAGCCGCTAGAGGCGCTTGCGTGCTTATCACAGTGAGAGCACGCAAGCGTTCATAGGAAAGCATTATGAATGCTTTCCTATGCGACCGGCTGAATGCGTGCGCAGCTCTTGCCGCGCGTGCGCATTCAGCCGGCGGGACGGATCGGAGGAGGAGGAGAGCTCCCCACCCAGCGCTGGAAAAAGGTAAGTTTTAACCCTTTTCCCCTTTCCAGAGCCGGGCGGGAGGGGGTCCCTGAGGGTGGGGGCACCCTCAGGGCACTATAGTGGTCCTTTAATGAAGTGGTCTGGGTGCCAGGTCCAGCTAGGGTTAACCCTTTTTTTTTTTTTTAATAAACATAGCAGTTTCAGAGAAACTGCTATGTTTATAATAGAGTTAATCCAGCCTCCAATGGCTGTCTCTTGAAAATCACAGTGAGAAGACACCAGCGTCCATAGGAAAGCATTGTGGATGCTTTCCTATGGACTGGCTGAATGCGTGCGCGGCTCCTGCCGCGCATGCGCATTCACCGAAGAGGGAGGAGAGCTCCCTGCCCGGCGCTGGAAAAAAGGTAAGATTTAACACTTTCCTCTCCATCCAGCCCGGACCCTCAGGGCACTATAGTGCCAGGAAAACGAGTATGTTTTCCTGGCACTATAGTGGTCCTTTAAGCACAAACATTACTTGGTTTTAATGAAGTGGTTTGTGAGTCAAAGATGTAGCCCCTGCAGCTATGCTGTTGTAGACCGTGCTGATTGTGAGAAACTGTACTGTTTACATTTTGCTATGCCTATGTGTTTTAGTGGCTTTGAAAGTAAGGGATTCTTGTGGAGAAGCATTGGTTTCAGTGCTTCTTTATGCAATGCTGGCAGGTATGCTGGATGAGGCAGGGTGATGCCCATAATGGGTCCACCCACTCAAAGGGACTGTCTGGCACACAGTCTGCAAGACATTGCAGAGAGAGCTGCCGAAGCCTTCTCTGCAGAATGAGGGGGGCTAATGGTGCGCTTGCATTGTGCTGCCTGAGGACAGTTTACTAAAGCAGGATACTGAAATATGGACTGTGACACCAAAATCATGGCTGTTGGGTGGCCTGTTTATGAGAAGCATTGTTGGTAGATTATAGTGACTGCTTTGCATGTATTTTGCATTGCAATTCTTCTCTATGAGAAGTATCTGATTGGACACGAGCCATCAGTTATAATACATATACATTGTCCTTTTTGAATTATTTGCTTATTTTTTTTTAATTTCACCTGTTTTCAAGAAAATGCAGTTTAAGGACCAAAATTACTTAGTATCAAAAGTAATTTTGAGGCATAGAAGCTGCTTACAACCATACTGTTGTTGACAGTGCTTTTTGCAATGTGCATCTGTAACGGACCGTTTTTCACACAAGAGGTTAAAAACCGTTTAGGCAATATTCCCCTTTCAGATGCACAGACAACTACTGCAAGCACCAATCTCCCGAACTGCAAACTACACGAATTATCCAACTCCTGAATAGGAAACTCACGAATACTGGAAACAGCTGAACAGGAAAAACCATACGAAAGGTTTACACTCCTGGCAGTCAGCATACAATCCAATTCCCCCAATAACGAGACGACACTTCGTTTGAGGGTTAAGCAGAATCTGACTGTACTGGCACATACAGCCTCTTTTATTCACAATCCACAAACATAGCACCGCCCACAGGGTTTTGAAATACAGCCAATCAATCCGTACAATACACACAGACACTCCCACACAAAATCCTCCCCTCTGCCTGTGATATGATTACTGAACACAATGGTTAATCTAATTATCACAGGCAGAGAAATACAGCACCATAAAACATATCACAGGGACCCCAAAACATGCAACAATCCTCGGAACTGGGGGATCTGGTTGAACCACATATCCAAAATTCACCCAGATCCGTTCAGTACTTTGGAAGATACAGTTTAATGCAGATTCCAAAGAACATATGCAGGCTATATGAAAAACAATTACTGCACAATGTGTCCCCTGTTGTATAGTCCAAAACCACTGCACGATGTCTCTGCGCACCAAATACCGGCGAGATGGCACCGTGTTGAAAAGTCCAAACAGTGTCTGTGAGTTAAAATGGCCGCCATCCATTGTTCTCACCATGTGCTTCATCCATTATCTCACCATGTGCCTCTGATACAGGAAATGGTGGCCACCCAGTAACTCCACAGTATGTCCCTAGATGGTTCTTAAAGGGCCAGCAGCAGCACAACACAAATCCATTATGCCCAAATCATGTCTTTAAAGGGCAATACATCCCAGGGGCCATAGTCACATGGCAGGAGGCTGGCAACCAGGCTTCTCCAGTGCATAGTGGCGTGGTTGGTTCCACCACAGTACCTGTGGCTGTCAGACAACACTAGCTTCTTCTGAAACAGATTCAGTATTTGAATCTATTGTGTAGTGTCAACATGTAGTGTACTGATGTTTGTGTCCAGTTCTTCTCTATGAGTAGTGGTCAATTGGTGGATTGTGATGATTATTACTGCACGTGTGCCATGTGACATAGAAACATGGAATGTGATGGCAGATAAGAACCATTCGGCCCATCTAGTCTGCCCAAGTGACCTCATTGCTTCTCTATAAGAAGCATCTGATTGGACAAGCAGAGGCAGCTCTCTAATTAGGCGATTTAGGCGGCCGCCTAAGGCCTCGCGCTGTCAGGGGCCTCGCGGCCGCCTAAATCACCTGAGGGCAGACTGACATGTCGGGTTCTTGGTCTATGACCGAGAAACCGACACAGGAGGCGGCTTGCCCTTTATGTCTCCGGGTGCGAGGCCCCTCCAGTCAGTCCGCCCGGGGAGAGAGCCAGCCTCAGTCTGCAGCTCCGCTGGGTGAGAGCTGCAGACTGAGGTGTCTCGCGCTCTCCAGCCAATCAGAGCATTCCAGCGGATTACCATGGCAACGCTCTGACTGAAGATCGCGAAACATTCCCCATGTGGTCTGCAGCTGGACCACCAGGGAGTCTGCCACCACTGGACCACCAGGGAATCCTGCATTGCCTGCAACAATAAAAAAGGTACATTTCAACCCCCCCTTACCCTGTCACCTCTCCTCACATCCTGTAACCCCCTCTCAAATCCTGTCACACCCTCACGCTACGTCCCCCCCTCTTACTCTGTCACCCCCCCTTACTCTGTCACCCCCCTCTTACTCTGTCATCACCCTGTCACCCCCTACCCCCTCTTACTTTGTCACCCCACTCTTACTCTGTCATCTCACCTCTCACCCCCTCTTACTCGTCACCCCACTTACTCTGTCACCTCACACCAATACTGTCTCCCCTAACACTGTCACCCCTAACACTGTCACCCCTTCACATACTGTCACCCCCTTTCACATCCTGTCACCCCATTTCATCCTGTCACCCCTCAGCCACGTCCCCCTTACTTTGTCACCCCTAACACTGTCACCCCTTCACATACTGTCACCCCTAACACTGTCACCCTCTTTCACATCCTGTCACCCCTTGCCCACTCTTACTCTGTCACCCCTTACTTGTCTCCCCCCACTAGGTCACCCCGCTCACTCCCTAACACTGTCACCCCTTAACACTGTCACCCCCTCACATACTGTCACCCCCCTAACACTTTCACCCCCCTTTCACATCCTGTCACACCCCTTTCACATCCTGTCACCCCCCTAACGCTACGTCCCCCCTCACGCTATATTCCTCTATGAGGAGCATTGGATTGGTCATCGTCTTGAATGCCAGAAGGTGTTGCAGGAGGTGGAGCGGCCGGCAGCCCGAAAGGTCTCCTGGAGCTCAAGAAAAGTTTAGTAAAAATCTTTTTTTTTTTTTTACGTTTTAACTAAACACAGGGGTAGGAGATAGGACCTAAAACTAATCTGTAGATACATAGATACAGTATCATATAAGAGACCAGAGTACAGTTACAGTTAGCTTTTTAATAGATAATAAAACTTTATAAAGAAACAAATTTTTTATATATATATATATATATATATAAAACACAATTTACAAGGACAATGATAATCCTTTGTCAGATTATCAGCTATTTTAAATCTGCACATAAGTGCAGGCAGAAACCTAAATGGGGAATAGTTTAGATAATTGAAGCCTACATTAGAGATACTGTTTGTGACTTGCACCTTGCTGACCTCCGGTAAGTTGCCAAA